GTTAGCCTGACTTTGAGAAGCAAGGTTAGACAGGCTAGCAAAAGACGGTTCTTTTGTTTCAAAGTATGGCACAGAGACAAAGGCAGATTGTTTTGTTGGCAATGAGCGAAACGCGTATTGGGGTCGTGCACTCGTAGGTGCAGGTACATCCTTATCAGTTGTAACTGATTGTTCGCTATCCGGTAAAGGGGTTACAGACAAATCATTTTCTGTAGTCACAGACACATTATTTTCTTCTGCTGAAGAAGTATGGACAGCAAGTGAAGGAGACAGAATTGGACCAATAGGGATAGTGTTAGAACCAGTCAGTGGTAATTTTTTATTACTAAGTTCTGTTATGACAGGAGAGGGAAGTGTCATGTCGTTCGTCTCTACGAGGTCCTCAGGTTCACTTGTCTGTAGAGAAATAGTAGCATGAGTGAGCAAGGTTTGATCAGACACAGAGAAAAATTCAGATTCAGAAAAAGGAGGTATAGACAATTTACCTTCTTTCTTGTTCTTGTAGCTCTTGCCGCCCTTGCTGTCAGAGTTCTTCTTGCGATCACTGTTGCAGTAGGGGGCAGTGTGGCCATTCTTGTTGCACTTGGTGCAGTGCCTGCAGTTCTTGGTATCATGCGAGCGATTTTCACCGTGATTGTCACAGTGGAAAGTCTTCTTGCCAGAGTTAGACGAAGATGGGAACGACGACGAATCAGCAGTCGGTTTGCCTTTGCCACTGCGGTCGTTCTTGCGGTGACGTTGTCGCTTGTGACCATGGTTATTACCGGTCTTGGACGAGGAGGCATCCTTGTCATCTTCATCATCGTCGACGAGACTGTGGGGTCTCTTGAGAGAGTCGTCTGGTCCTTCCATTACACTGAGGTTGGTAAGGATCTCACAAATAGAGTCCAGCTTGACCTCAGATAAGGAGGTGCCAGTCTTTTGAATCGATGTCTTGATCAGGTTGAGCTCCACCGATGGGATTGAACTCATGATGCCAGACAGTACAGTGGCGTTGTTATCATCAATTCGATACACGCGCACTGATCGTTGGAGACGAAGAGCGAAGTTTCGGTACGACTCCTTGTGACGACGGCCAATTTCGGCGACACGAGCAACGGTTTTGAAGCGTTCCGTCGGAGTCAAAACACTGTCGACGAAGGCAACTTCACATTCCTCCCAAGTTAGGGAAGAACTGCCGTGACGAGACAGCTCATCAGTGAACTGCTGTCGTGTCTGATCGTCCAGAATCGCCATACAGAGCAGGCGTTGGGCACTGGCGAGGAAAGGAGTCTCGCCGTAACTGTTCTCACAGTAAGTCTTGAATCCATCGAGGAACAAGTGAGGGTCGCGGATGACTTGATACGATTGTCCCTTGCCGTGCTTGATGTCACCAAATCGGGGAGTGCCCGAGTCGAGTGTCAATTTGTTGCTGTCAACCCTGATAGCGGTGGCAATAGTCGCCGTGGGATCGGTCACGATCGGTGCCATCGGTTGGTCGAGAGCCAGTGCTGCTGACAGACGCGCACAATCCGCGGTCTTTTGGCGCACGACTTCTAAGAGTTGGATGGCTTCCTTCTGCCACATCTGGTAATTGACATCGAGAGGGTTCTTGTGCATCTTGAGCAGGGTGCGACGGTATAGCTTGGACCAATTAGAAAGATCGTGTTTCTTGGTGGTGATGGCTTCCTCAAGACCGCTGGTGAGCTCGGAGTCACTCACGTCGTCAGCATCCGTCATGGCAGAAAAAGTGTTCGGGTCGAAGACTGGAGAGGGCTGCATGTGCTGGTTTGCCGACAAGATGGACGAGGCCTGTTCGTTGTCATCGCTCATAATGATGTCCTCTCGGAATACAGGGACGGGGGATGGAGCGACAACAAAGGTGCCGGTGGCATCGATAGCCAAGTCTTGGAGAGTGGGTAACTCGTTGTTGTCAGAGTTGTCAGACATAGGAGTGATGATTTGTGATTTAGAGTGAGAGTGTCGGACAAAAGTTCAGAAGTTCTTGAGTGGATCGAAAAGTTGCCTTTCTTGTTAGGGAAGAGGTTTCTTTTAAATACTCATTACCGACACGTGTCATAGCAGCGTAGATTTTTAATCCGTATGCAACGTTTGCAGTGTTATAGCAAGGATGTTGTTTGTACCTAGTAATGGTGTAAAGGGAGCATTTATTTTCCTTTATTTTCTTTTATTTTCCAATTAGCAAGCAAAAATAACAAAGATAAAAGAGTGAGGCTCTTTGCTGTTGTTTCTGTCAGCATTTATTATTTTGATTTCGCTGCTATTCGCATAGGTGTCACAGATCGCTACTTATGTATGCTAATTGCTCTTCGGTCATATCCGAGGGTGACATAGGTTCGAGGTTGCGTCTGACAGTCTCCGGTGATGGAGGTGCGAAGGAAAGAAACAAATGCAATCGCTCGATTAGGAACTCAACATCGACGAAAATACTAGAGATAGTGTTTATTTCTATTGAAGCATCATACACAACCTAAGGATTAGACTGCGTACGGGAGTTAAGGTACGTCAGGCGCTGCTCGTATGTACGGGCGAAAGATTCCCAGGCTTGTCGTGCTTCCAACATGTATCGAAGCTCCTTTTCTTTCTGATCTAGGTGTTGCCTCACCAACGTCAGCTGATCGTATTCCTGCTGCGAGGTGCAGGAGAGAAGCCTCTCGTACACCCGCCCGGCCTGAGCAAAGAGCTCTTGCTGTTGCTGAGTGTAGGCCACTAGCTGTTCTTGTTGGAGAGAGGTCCACCAAGCCTGAGGAATGTTCTCCGAAGATGGTGCCGGTGCAGACAACAGTACAGGTACAGGTGAAGAGACGGGTATAGGCGAGGAGACTGGTGGAGGCGATCGGTCTTCCGCGACTTGCGAGAGCGGGTCCTGTGAGAGACAAACCGTCTCATCGGCCTCATGATCGATACAGTCTTCATGCTCAATACTGTCCTCTTGCTCGATGCTGTCCTCCTTGGACCAGTTGTTAGACGCAGACAGTTGCTGTTGTGACGACTCCAGCTCGTGTGCAAAGCGAGTGTTCTTGACTGGCCTTTTGGTGCCATGGGTGGAGCGGGTTGAGGTCATTGTGAAAGTTGGTAGTGAAGGGTGTTTGTGTGAATGGGATGGAAAGCGAAGAATGTGGAAAGAAGTTGTTTCTTTCATCCTCTCTCTCTTTTCTCATTCTTTTTATGTCTCTTCCTTTTCTTTTCCTGAATGCCAATTGGATCAAGGAAATCAGGACGTGGTGCATGGTGATTGGTCGAGACACTCATGCAAAGATGGCGTGCTTGTAAAAGCGAAAAGAAAAACAACTCATTCTCATGCATACATGTCTTGTGCCAACAGCGCTTGCATCATCCGCGGAGAAGATAAATAAAAAATATAACACGATGCATGATGACATCGATTTTTCTACATCATCTACTGATGAGGGTGATGACATCGTCTTTCATTGTGCATCCTGTGATCTGCAGGTGAAGACTCACCTTCGATGACGCGCAGGAGCAAACATGCTATTGTGCGGGAGTATATTTTATCCTTGTGATTAGGCTTGAGTCATGAGGGAGAGAGAAGTACAACGATTCAAGAGAGAAAACAAAACTGTATTAGTCAGTTCTTTTTATTTAGAGTTGTGTTTGAGATCTTGTTACTACTGATCCTGCCGTGGCGACACAACTTGCTGATGTTGTTCTTCCGTCTCCTCGTGCGTGGAGTGTTGTTCAGCGTCAGGTCTGTTTGTTTGTACAGCCGAACTCCTTTTTGTGACGTATGGCCGATGAAAGTAGTTGTGCGTGTCGAGGCGTCGAGAGGGAGGAAATGCGACTCTCCTCTGCCAATAATCATCGAAATGGGATAGGGTGCGCTTGACAACCTGTATTTTTGTCTCCAATCCTTCCATCATATGATTGTATTTCCAGTACTCCTGGTCCTGGAGGTCGATGGTGGTACCGATGTCAATGGGTGGCTCGGTTTCCGAGTCGAACATGCCGTGCATATCGCACAGTCGGTGGATGGTTTGGGCGGCAGCGTATGTCTTCGAGGATTGAAGGTGTACAAGAAGGGATTGGGCGTTTCGTATCGCTACAGTGCCTATCCTGCCTTCATCGGGTTGAACCGCCCAGAAGTGCGGTGGAGCAACGTCATGAAGATAGTTGTGAGTCGGTCGCTGGGGCGTTGTAGTGCTGTTCCTTCTGTCAGCGTATGGGTGCGCGCGTGTGGGCGACGTCCTTCGTGGCGGTGTTCTGCCGCTGTCGCTAGTAGAGCGAGGAGGGGACGGGGTATTGTCTCCTTGGGGACCAGATGAGGGAGCGTTGTCATCGTTCATGATGTGTGTGTTTTGTTGCGCTGTCGAGAAGGAGAGTTGTTGGGAGATGGTAAAGGTGTGTTGACAAAGTGTTTTACTTTTTCATTCCTCCTCCATCCTTCTCACTTGTGATCTTGTGCAAAGTTCTCACAAAGCGCATTCATCGCTACCTGATGGTCATCTGCCATTGGTTCATGCTTGAATCACGCCATCCCATAGAAAATCTTGAGAATCAACAAACGATGACATCGTCTTTTATTTTCAACATCATGTGACACTAATCGTCAGTGGAGATCTTACCTGCGGTGAGGTTTTGTCTCTGCTCAAGCATCACAATCGATGCGAGGTCGTGCTTTTGATACCCTTGAGTATAAGCGGTAGTGGTTCCAGTGTTTTCAGACTGGAGTGGTGCCAGTAGTGAGACGGTGCTCTGTCAGCTGCATGGCTGACCTTCCATACGGTGATGGGTGTGCATTCATTCCTTTCGTGTCTTTTTTTTTTTTTTTTTTTTTTTTTTTAGAAAAGTGAATGCGTGTAGGGGTGTGTGAAGTGGGGAAGATCCCTATTGTGAATTCGTTAAGAAAAATGGAGAATAATAACCGGGGTTGTGATAGTAAAGGTTATGATGGGAATAGGAATAACGAAACAAAGAGAGGGATCTGTTTAATTCAGGGACGAAGAGTCCTTATGTACTCTTCGTCCTAATGATACACGTGATTATAGCACAGCAACGAAGAAGAGTTCCAGCTGAGCCTGAAACCCTTTCCAATCTTCACGCTTGCCGGAGAAGACTGCGGGGGGTGCTACTTTTGGCCTCGAAGGGGAGCTATTGCTGGAGTGAGGTGTAGTTGATTGGAAGATGGCACTCACTGTGTTGGTGACATCGGTCTTGTGATCATAAAATAGTTTGCCTAGTTCTGCGCGAGTGATGGGTGGTAATTGTGACGTCATCTTCTGGACGTTGGATTCGAGGCTGAGTAATCGAGGGTTGAGGTTGACGGTCAGGCTTGTGAAGAAATCTTCGTTCGAAAGAATGAAGTCCAGCATATCACGGTACTTCTGAACAGTCTCCTCGAGTTCGGTGACTTTGGCTTGCAAGGGAGTGACCGTCTGAACTATTTGTTCAAGTGTGGCTACTCGGTCCATCAGTGCTTGGAAGCGCGCGTTGGCTGTAAGGATCTCACTATCGGGTAGCATTGTAGTTGATACGGAAAGTGAAGAGTTGTTGTAGTTTCTGAGGGTTGTGGGTTGTGTACGGAAGATGGTAGTAAAAGAGGAAAGAACTTGAAGAAGATAGGGTTTGGTTTTGTTGTGGAAAAGGCTTTTTTTTTTTTTTTTTTTTTTTTTTGAGCGCTGAAGTATATCAATAGAAAACAGACAAAGTTTGATCCAAGGTTCTTTAGGTGTATGACTTGGTATTGTCAAGAAAGCAGACCAAGCAATAGAATGAAGTAGATAAAGAGAACCTTGATCAAGGACTAAGAAATGAGTATAAGGAATAGGTTAAAGAGTATGTTGTATTGGCGATACCAAGTAAAGAGCTATAGATTTGCTATCTAAGGCCCTTTTATACTCGTTAGGGCGAAGTCACAAGAGCAAGCTCTTGTCTCGTGACAACGTCCTGAAGCGGTCTCCAAAGCCAAAGGCTTTGAGCGCTTCATGAAGATACTTCCATTCTACTCTGTCATATGCCTTTTCTTGGTCGAGACTAAGAAGGGCATCAGCAGGGAGGTCGGGGCGTGGGTGTCTCTCCATCGCGTCATTCAGATCCAAAAATTGGAGAATGCGATGTTGTGCCAACTGTTCGTCTGTGATTTGTTTCTGCACATGCTGCATCAAAAGATGCATATTAAGTACGTTGTCATGACCCTGCCTGCCCTTGACAAAACCTGTTTGCCAGGGCTGGAGAAGGTAGGTGGCGACCTTGTTGACTCGTTCTGTCAGTGCTTTTGTAAAAATTTTGTAGTCGCACCCAGAAAGGGATATAGGGCGATAATTTTTGCACAACGATCGTTCTCCTTTTTTAAAAAAAAGGGCGACGGCCGACTTTTTGGTCGACGGGGGCAGGTCAAAATCCTCTTTCGTTGCCTCGTTGTATACTTGTGTCAGCAGGCCGGATAGCATGTCCTTGAATGTCTTGTAGAATTCAAAAGGTATACCGTCCTCACCTGGCGCTTTGCGGTTTGCACTCATATCAATTGCTTTTTCTATCTCGACCGGGCTCAAGTCACTGTCCAGAATGGCGACATGCTGGGCTGTGACCTGAGGAAGATCCCGGAGGAGAGCTGATCTAGCCATCGCGTCTGAGCCTTGTGATGTGTATATGGTCTTCCAAAAGTCCCTGACTACTTCTTCTCTCTCCTCGGTTGTGGAGGTAAAAGTGCCGTCTGGTTTCTTTAAGTGTGGAATTAATTTTTTCGCTCTTGATCCTTGCAAGACCCGTGTAAAGTAAGGAGAGGGGATCTCTCCTTCTTCTATCCACTTTACCCTGGCCAAGATAGCGAGACGCTCTAGAGACTGTTGTTCGAGATCAATAGCCTCCGCCGTGAGGCGGGCATAAGTGTCTGCTGCGTCCTGGTCAGAGGGGTCTGCAATCAATTGCTCGTTTGTCTGTTTCATTTTTCGTTCAATGGTGTGTTTCTTTTGGATTTGTTTTTTTCGCTCCTTTTTTCCAAATTCGGACGACACCTCCAGAATCCTTTCCTTTGCTCTATCCCAGAACTCGAACGCTTTTTCCTCTGGGATGGAAATGCGTGAGGACATGAGATCATCCCACAATTGTCGGATAAGAGTAATGTACTCTGGATTCTTTAGGAGGCCTTTCAAGTCCAAATTATCATATGGTGTTTGTTACATCTCTGCAGATCTTGACGATATCCACCGCGTCCATTAGAGGAGAATGTATATATGATACCAAGCATATAAGACAACCATTGTAACATTTTTTGTTTAACTATCCTACTAAACACCAACCTATTCTCCAAACAACAAAGTCTTCTTATTTTTCGCACACCAAACTCTTGAATGTGTTCATCTACTATTAACCTGTAACCCTCACTGCAAGATTCGACAGAGTAGTTCTTGTATGTGATCATCTAAAGCACTTGTATTCCCAACTGTATCTTTGTCGTGAAATACAGGGGAGAGATTACATTTTAAAAATTCTTGTGCTGTCTATTGCTATTTTATTCTGTGTTCTGTTGCCCACTATGAAGAGATATGCCAGTTATGGAAGTCAACACTCCGTTCCTTGGACTTTGGATATTTTTTATATGCCTTTTTATATCCTCTGCACATGAAGGGGCCGCTAAGGTGGCGGACATCGATCGCACGCTTGCGATCGTCGTCTGCAATGGTCTCGGTGGATGACAGTTGACAAGAGATGACCGCATGGTCGCTCTGTATACCTGTGCACACTGTGACTTTTGCATCTGAGGCAATTGGAAATAAGGTTGGGGTTGAGACAAAAATGTAATCAATGCGTGTTTGCACAATCTCACTTTTGTCTGCCCCTATTTTTCTGTGTTTGGTTCGACAGGTGAACCGACCGGCTTTTGTAGGGCCTCCCTCTTCCACTGGTGGCATAGTATCTCTCAAGTCGAGACGAGTGAGAATATTCTCAAGGTGGTGCCAGTGGGAGCGGTTGCGTTGCCCCGCCTGCAGGGCGGGCAAGCGATCGTTCTGTATGTCTTTGTATGTGTTGAAGTCACCTCCAATAACCAGTCGTTGATGTTGGAGTACATCGACTGGGAATCGAAGGAGAAATGCTCTTCTTTGGTTGTGGTCAGAGGGGGCGTACACACTTGCAAAGCGGTATTCTACCCCGTCTACTAAAAAGTCAAAGTAGACGATACGACCGTTCTCCAGCGTGTGGCACTTGTCTGCATCCATCTTGATGTGTTTTGATTTGATCAGAATGGCCGTATGCTGGGAAAAATAGCTCTCTCGAGCCCATTCTCTCCTCCATTCGGGAATCTGGTTGTCTTTAGGGTTACACTCTTGTAGCGCAATAATGTCAAACGGTTGTGTTTTGAGCCAGCGGAACAAGTTCTGCCGTTTTCTCGTATCCACAACACGATTGCAATTAAATGATGCAAATGATAGACTGGTCATTAGAAAAAAATATATCAATGAAAAACAAAGATCTAAATAAAGATAGACAGAAAAAACGGATGATAAAGAAAAGGGTAAACTTCTTTTTATTGATCCATTTCTCCACCACCTCCATTCTGTTCTAGTTCTCTTTGGGCTTCTTCTCTTTCTGCCGCGGTCCAGAGACGATCGAGACTATCGCCCATGTCGTCGTCCTCATCGTCATCGGTCTGTAAGTGGTTGTGCTGTTGTTTGTTCGTAGTATCATGGGCGTCGCATTCAACACCTGAGGGTGGTACGCTAGCCTTCTGATGGGGTGATGCTGGCGTGCTGCTGCTGCTGCCGGAGCTGCTGCTGCTGCTACCATCACTAGAAGTAGCTGGGGGGCCAGAAGTGCCTTGAGCATTAAAGACAAAGGCCTCTGCATGTGTGGACGCGATACCAAACCACCCCTGGGTTTGAGCCTGGGGTGTAGATGGGTCCACAACTTGCATTGGTGCAGCCTGTTGTTCTCTGTTGCTTGCGGGCGCGACCTGCTGATGGGGTACAGGATTGAAGCTCAGAGCGGGCTTCGTCCCATTCAACCCTTCAGCTTGGACAGGAGGCCTCTGTTGGGGTACGGATGCATTGGTCACGGGGACCTTGCTTCCATTCAACCCAGCAGCCTGCGGTGCAGGAGTGGTGGCCTGTCCAGCGGTCTTTGTCTTCTTCTTCCTTGGCTTCTTCTTCTTGGGGGCGCCATCCAGGGACCTAGGTCTCTTGTGGTCCTGAGGGTCCTGGCCGGAGGGCCCCAGGTCCTTGATGGTGGGTTTTGGCGCATGACGGATCTGAAATCCATCCTGGTCCGGCGCCGAGATTCTCTTTGATCCCTGCTCCTTGTTGTTGTTGTTGCTGTTGCTGTTGCTGTTGCTCTTGCTGTTGTTGTTGTTGTTGTTGCTTTTGTTGGGTTGTTGTCTGTTGCTGTTGTTGCCTCTGCTACTACTATGGAGGCCTTTCAAGTCCAAATTATCATATGGTGTTTGTTACATCTCTGCAGATCTTGACGATATCCACCGCGTCCATTAGAGGAGAGTGTATGTATGATACCAAGCATATAAGACAACCATTGTAACATTTTTTGTTTAACTATCCTACTAAACACCAACCTATTCTCCAAACAACAAAGTCTTCTTATTTTTCGCTCACCAATATCTTGAATGTGTTCATCTACTATTAAACTGTACCCATCACTGCAAGATTCGCCTGAGTAGTTCTTGTATGTGATCATCTAAAGCACTTGCACTCTCAACTGTATCTTTGTCGTGAAATACAGGGGAGAGATTACATTTTAAAAAAAAATTGTGCTATCTGTTGCTATTTTATCCTATGTTCTGTTGCCGACTGTGAAGAGATATATCAGCTATGGAAGTCAACACTCCGTTCCTTGGGCTTTGGATATTTTTTATATGCTTTTTTATATCCTCTGCACATGAAGGGGCCGCTACCGAGTTGGTTGACTGTAGGCGTTCCCTCCATGAAGCGGTACGACATGATGGTTTTAGTCAGCAGGGGTGTGTTGCTCAGGGCGAGGCTTGCTGTTGCCTTGCTGCAGCTTCTAGAGTCGTGTCCAGTAATGCCGCATCCCACGCAGAAGGCCGGGGCGTTTCTCCAGAAGAAGTACGTGTTCCAGCGGAGAAAGTTGGCGATCCTGGGCAGCTGTGGGTTGGACGGGATGTTCTCGTGGAACGTGAGTCGAAAGGATATGTTACCATCCTTGATTGTGTGTGTTGGGTGTCGAATGTACCCAAAGCTGATGTTGTCTACGGTCCCGTGGTTACCGAAGATAGCCGTCAGTTCGGTCTGGATCTGTTCCAGATTGTCGGTGCAGGCGATGTTGTTGGCGAAGATCGTCTCCTCCACTCCCGAGGTGTACACCGTCTTGGATGGCTGAATCCAGAAGGTGGTTGTAATCTCCAGGGGGATGTTAAGGGCAAAGTCAAACTCAGCCTTATCCTTGAAAATCGCTGCCATATATTTATGGACTTGGTCGAATCGCAGCTCCGTCACGCCCCTGACTTGGTCTGCGATGGCATTCATCACCTGGGTGTATGTGATGCCTTGGGGCGTGTCCTTCTTGCCGGGAAGGGTGTAGGCCAGGACATAGTCGTTCCTGAACACGGTCGCGGGGAGCGTGTCTGCTACTGGGCGATACTTGCCCGCTGCAGCCTTTTTCGCCCATGTTGCTGTTGACTCCAGGGGTGGGCGAAACACAACCGGTTGCTGCTGTTGTTGTTGTAGTTGTCGTTGTTGCTGTTGTTGATGCTGTTGCTGCTGTGGTGGGTTCGAGGTGTCGGGGGTTGAATTCGACTTTTGGTGGATGGGTGGATGAGTCCCAGATCCATCCATCGCCAACCTGGGCGCTGCAGATGCCGATCCGGTTCCAGTTTCTGGATTCGGGTCGGTACCTGGCGGAACTGTTTCTGCCGCCAGGGCCATGTCGTGATTTACCGACATGGGTAGGTGGGGGATAAGAAAGAGAAAAGAGGGGTAGTAGAAAGGGGAAGGGGGGCCGTCTGGGGCGGAGTGCGAAATATGTAAAACTTGTGCAAAGGGGAAGAAAGAGTTGCTCTACCATTTGAGCTAGATCCCCAAATTAACTTGATACACAGCAATTGTGGCCAACATCCAAGTTCTGAAAGATCCATTTCGTTCAAGAACCGTGTTTTTGGTTACTTTGAGCCCTGGATCCTAGAGACCCCACTCAGGGTATCTCAAAACTCTATCCATAATGGTAGTTTGCAATTTGGTATTGAGTAGAAAGACATTTTTTTGTATGTAGAAAAACATTGCACCGCTTTCGTGCAGGAAAATATACATTCTATAAGTGCAAGCTCGAGATATTTTTCTTTGCTCTGTTCCAAAGTCCATCTCCAAGACAGTCCTGGACAAGTTTGTTGGCTACCTGGAGACGGAGGCTTCAGAACTGATCTGAAAACCACGGCGCACCGCGGTGATCACGTGGGAGCAGACCCAGGATATCTCTGTCATATCTGCCAAGGACAAGACATGCGACTGGAGTCAAGGATACGGCTACATTACCCGTGATGGTTTCTGCCCGTGTGGCGCTTCATTAGCCAGAGGGGACCTGCCCAGGAGTGACCACGGACCCACGCGTTGCTGATGAGCGGTTGTTGGAGAGTATTTTGAGAAGGAGGAGGCTATCGATGATGGAGAGGACGGGAAGAAACCCCTTTATCCGCGTCTAATTTTTTTTGTCTTGTGTTTAAGCTATGAAGAGCAGCGCAATTGTTGTGCAGAGCCAAGTTCCGGACCGGTTAGCAACTAGTGGATGGTGCACTGGAGAGTTTGGTCCATAGCCCCTTTACTTCCAAATGCCTCCTTTGAGTTGTTTGTCAGAGTAATAAAATTGTGTACACCAAAAAAAAAAAAAATGGCTATTGTAGGCATGGCCTAAGAATCGCGACATTATCGTGTTCTGGATGCTGGTCTCTGTATTGCAAAAGATCGGCATGAAACGCACTGGGGAGCCGCGTTGATTGAAACGCGATTGATGTTTTGTTCTGTTGCCACTTTTATTCAAGTACCAAGAAAGTGGCTATCTTCGGCTTTAGCGCTACTGAACGATCACGTCAAGACCAGCAACAACAGCAGCAAAAAAAATACTCGCTCCACTCTCGGTAAAGGCCTTTGCATACAAAAAAAAACAACCTTGAAGTCCCTACGAGAGGTGAACATTTCCACTTACACGCATATATTTTCTTTCATACTTTCGAGCGCTTACCGGTATTGTTGAAGCGCGATACAGCGGTAGAAACATATCAAAAGTGCGGTGGCGAATACAATGTATCGGTACTACAGGGCTGCATCGATGCCATGGAACGCAGCAGGGGGGATATGGTGTTGAGGAGCAATCGCATGCATAAAGATCTGACGATGTACGCCCGATGAATGACGGAGTTATTAGACATTGAAAAGCGTGAAGAGGTTCAATACTAAGATCCTCTCGCTCATCGATGACGATAATGAGAGTCTTATACGGGGTTAGGGCTTAAATACCGCAACAAACCTCTGCTTTCAAACTGTGTCAGGGCCTTTAATGTGACTCAGAAACAAGCAAAAAACGAAAGATTGTCTGCGCCGCCGTCTCTGCCTCCGCTGCCTCCTCCGCCACGACATCAGTGACGATTAGAGATCTAGATTTTGCTCTCCTACTCATTTTCACCACCTTTTTTTCCAGTCTCTCTTTCTCCCCTTTTTATCCTATTGCTTCAGCTATTTATCTATCCAAGTATAGCAGCAAAATATTCTTGAACCATCGGCCATCGTTATTCTCCCTTACTTTCTTGTATTTGCACAGGGGCAAGGGATGCATAACTTTTATCGGTACTCGACAATCTCTCCAGTCCTTGGAATGTATACCACCATTTTTCTGTGAACACGTAGAACAATTATTGGTTGCTGTCCTCTGTTTACATGCTATGAGACAGAAGACAGATAAAAGAAATAGTATTCGCCGGCGCTTTTCTCTCTTTCTTTTTCTTCATGCTCACTGCAACTCGGAGCATTTTCTCACCCTCTTCACTCTCTCCAATCCTTCATAACAACTCCTTCTCTCCTTTTCTCCCAGCACCAAAAATGAAGACCCTTTCCCTTCCCCTCTGCATTGTCGTTGTGACTTGTGCCTCCACCCAAGATAAAAAATACTTCAGCTCTCCGTACGTTTCAACCATAACTGCCCACTCGAGCTGTGTTGTCGCGTGTTCTAACACACCAAATTTTTGTTGCCCCTCACTCATCGTGTGTAATTGTTTCGGTGGTTCAAGTGAAGCAGAGGAAACGCCCACCGGTCAAGTGCAGGATTTTCATGGACAGGTACCACGCGTTCGCTAATACCTGCTCCGACACCTACAATGCTGCCAAAGATGATTTGAAAAAGTCCAGACTCCAAATCCACGACGCTGTTGTCAAGGCCTTTAACCAAGGCCCTGAACACCACCAAAGCTGCCGGATACTCTTTAAAGTCCATCGGGGGGCCTGATGGTTGTAGATGTCGAAGTTGTGAAGAGCATCAAAGTTGGTGACATTGTGTAGGGTTTTAGCACTGGCAGTACCGCCACAGTCTGTGATGCCGCTAGCTATGATTTGAACTATGGGTATTATCACAGCCAAGACTGTGACAAAAAGTCCTACCTCTCTTCTCTTCTCCTCCACCTCTCCCGGTGACCTTCTTACACAACCTTTCACTATTTCTTTTCATGTCATTACTCATCCCATCCAAAAAAAAAAAAAAAAAAAAAAAAAAAAAAAAACATAAGGAGCTCAAGAAACATGATTAAAAAAAATCGCACCCGATTTGTATCTATGCTTTGCTTCACATGCACTATTACTATTAACCCAAACGATACATTCCTTTTCAATCTTACCTTCTCTCTCTTTACCAGTAACTGTTTTTCTCCAACTCTATCACACCACTAACGAACACCACACAATTAGTATCGTGCGACAAAAAGAAATAAGAGGATTAATGAGGTCAAAAAGGAATCCCAAGTTTAAGGGAACGCCTTTTTGGAGGGACGAGAGTACCCACTCAGGCGATCTAGCAACTTGAAAACAACGCACATCGGAAGAAAAAAAAAAGAAAAGCTTTGAACATAACTACAAGTCTTGCATGATCCTTTCCGCCTGAAGCGAAGAAGATCCGAGTTCATTGAAAAGACATAGTGCGCGAGGAGGAGGGCGGTTTTTTTTCAAACGTATGATCAGTATTTCAATCGCTCGTGTTTCACGACCCTACCGCCGGGTTTAACGACCCTATTGAATTATGGCGGAAAAAGAGCAACGATGAAAAAAGGAAACAAGAAATGGAACAACACTCCTCTTCATCTCCTCCCTATTTACCACCTATGGATCGACCGATTCAACAACAACAGTTCCACCTCTCTGCCTAATCGATATTCCATCTACATGGTACAAAAAGAGGGTGTAAAAAAAGAGAAGCAGAAAAGTAGTCAAGACACGCAACACATAAGGGTGAACTTGTATTTTTGTGACATCAAAGGGAATAACACCCTACACTATTAGTGCATTTGATGTGCGCAGCTGGGCCTCGGTGCTGCACACGTTTGATTTACTTCTTCCTTTTCTCTCTCTATCCCTTTGTTGGGGGGAGATCGACATGCATCTAGTAGGTAGCTGCTGAGAAAGCTGAATTGCTTCAATTGGGACTACAACCCAAAAATGCTTACCATTTTTTTTTCGCTTCAACCTACACGTCTCATCCTCTCCTGCGGTATCTCTCTATCACCTAAACATGCCCAATCGCGTGCACTTCAATCGCATTGAGAAAAATATTTTGTTATTGTGTTGGATATATTACAAGGTCGATGAGGGGGAAACTATTGAAAAATGCTATGTACTATTGTTGCGTGAAGAAAAAAAAAACAAAAAGGTTGTTGTGCAAAGAGTGAGGAGATTGATAGAACAAAATGAAAAAGACCTATATGCCTATGTATTATCGAGAAGGAAGCTATATGTTGTTTTAAGAGAGGATCCAGTTCATCTCCATCTTGACAGAGCGACCACGCTTGGTCGTAATGGGGACAGTACGCGAGAGGGGCTTCTCGATCATGTCCCAAGCATCGACATTGGGCTCGTTGAACTTGCATGCAATCTCGAGTGGGGCACGGCTGTCACCGCTGCTGTTGCTGTTGCCGTTGGTACCCTTGTTGGTGCTGCTACGACCGACCTGGAAGGCTGAGAGGTCGGATGAGGCGGGGGTGGTCTGGTGGAAGGGCAGCTTGGGCAGGTAGATCGGAGGCAACTCGATTCTGGGCGACGAGATCGGGGTGGATGACGCGGAAGACGAGTCAAACTTCTTCAACGATGAGATAGCTAGAGCTGGGGGGATCATGGACGACTTCGACGAGGAAGACCACTCCATCTTCTGGGCGCTAGCAGGCGAGACAGGACTAGTAGCAGCAGCACCAGAGGCAGTGTTCTTGGCATTGTAAGAGGGCTGGTACGAGGGCGAGTAGGCAATGCGGCCAGTCTCGCCTTGCTCATACCCAACAACCTGGGCAGGTGGGGGCGACATGGAGGAGTCCTCTTCTCGAACGAAGGAGCGGCCATCCTTCTCTGAGAAGAAGCAAGTGCCAGGCGCCTGGCCTTGCTTGGCCGCAATCTGGCAGCAGCAGTTGGCAGCGACAGGGGCATGGGCTCCGTTGCTAGCGGCGCCGGCAAGCTGGCAGTGTGAGGGGCGGGCATAGGGCAAGGAAGGGCTGTACCCAGCCTGGGCGTACTTGCGGGCGCGAGACAACGAACGGTCAGGACGAGAGAATGATGTGGGCAGGCGCTGGGCAAGGGCACGCTCGAGCTCCATATCGTAATCGATGGTCTGGCCGGGAACACCAGCATCCATGGACGACTCCTTGGCCTGGAGGTAGGCGGCGAGGCCAAACGTCTCCGCTAGGTCTTGCTCATGGACGGTCTGCGTGTGCTTGCCAACGGCCTTGGCGCGCCAAATGGGGACGTCTTCGTTGTTGCGACGACGACGGCTCTGGGGCTGGTCCTCATCATCAGTCTCGGACAACATGTTGGCATCAGCTTGCTGCTGCTGAAGAGCAGTGATGTGGGAGAAGGTGGGGCCAGAGCCAGGGTTGCTGCGCAGGACGACACGCTCAATCTCATCCTCATCCTCGTCGTCGTCATCCATATCGTTGTCATCCTCAGCGTCGTCGTCCTCATCATCATCATCGTCCTCGGTGGCATGGGCAACCAACTGGCTGTTGGGATGATGATGGCGGTGGACCTGGATGGACTCGAACCTCTCGATGGGAGCGACGGTAGGTCTGTGGACGACAGGCTTGCGACGGATGATCTTATGGACCTTGGCGCGAGCCATGGCGATGCTCTTGGCCGAGGCGGGGGCAGACATGGGGGTGTCAGACTCGGTATCGGTGCTGCTACCGCTGCTTGCGGGGCTTCCCGGGTGTGAGTGGAGAGGGGTGGCAGCAGTGGCGGTAGTGGGCGAGACGGGGACAGAGCAGGAGGGCGACGAGGTAGAAGACTTAGCGGCGGCAGAAGCTGCCTTTTTCTCAGCAGAAATCTTTTTATTAGAGCCTGAACCAGACCCAGCAGCGAGAGAAGCCGCGGCACCGGCCTTGGCGGCTGCGATCAAGGTGGCAGCAGCAGTGGTGGCGGGCGAGAGGACGGCAGTGTCGCCCGAGGGGAGTGTAATAATAGGAGTCGCAGTTGAGGTAATGATGCCGGCGCCATCCTTTCTGATTTTGGGGTTGTTGAGGTGACGCTGGAACTGACGGATATCGAGCTGGACAGAGGCGAGTTCACGATAGGAGCACTCGACACTGTGTTTGACGCAGCGAGAGCAGGGCTCCTTGCGGTCGCACTTGACCTTCTTGGCTCTGCAGCGGAGACAGGACGAGTAGACCTTGAGGCGTTTGAGGTCGTAGGCGACCCCAGGGATCGAGGCCAGAGTTGCGGGGTCGAGCTGGGCAATCTCGGTCGCTGTTGTTGGGAGGAGCTGGAGCGTCGAAGTTGACATTTTTTATATGTATTGTATGTGTTTGATTTGGTGGATATGGGTTGGTGAGTTGCAATTGGATAGTTGAGAGCGAGGGTGAAGGTGAAGGGAGTGCGAGGGTTTGATTGATCAAGAGCAATGAGAGGAGGTGAAGAGATGAAGATGAATGAGGAAGAAAAAAGGAAGAGTAGTTGAGATGAAGTGAATGAGGGAGACTGAGGGTAGTGGTAGTAGGTAGTGGACAACTATTAAGGAGAGAGGGAGGAGGAGGAGGAGGAGGAGGTGTCGGAAGGGAAGAAGAGAGGGAAAAGATAAAAACCGACAACAGAAAAATTCTTATCAGATCCTTTTTTTTGACAGGTGAGAGACAGACAAGCCACTATACCGACAGACGGAGGGAAGGGAGTGAGTGACCCACGCCCACTTCTTACTCACCTTACACACTCACTGCTGTACTGTACACAATTGATCCGGAGAACAAAATCAACAAGCGCTTTTGCTCTGCTCTCAGGTGATACCACAGATCAAGTCAGTGTCAAGGAGAGAGAAGAATAAGGGACCCGAAGAATAAAAGGCGGGCCGACTTCTCCACTCAAGTAACACAGTTGAACAGTTATTTTATCAATCTGATAACAAAAGCGTCTGAATGAGAAGAGAAAAAAGCAAAAGAAGAAAGAGAAGGCCGAGAAGTGAATGGCTCCAGTTGACACCATCCCGGTTTATTGCCTGTTGCTCTTGGTATTATTCGGTACAATAATACCAGCTTGTCCCTTTTATCCCCACACGATATTCTCATCTCTTTGTGATCCACTCCCTCTCCAGCCCCTCAGGTCAACGACCAGTTGGAATGGTAAAACATGCAAACATACACACGCCGAAAAAAAAAAGTATGATGAAAGCTAAAGACCAAAAAAAAAAAAAGCAAACGACATGTGAGGAACGAGTTCCCCGAACCACCGTTCATCCACCTTCGGCCAAACCAACAGAAAACCAATATAAAATAATCATCTTTAGCCCAACCTTGCCTATCCCCGTCCCCCTTCGGATTGCGTGCCTCATCTTCTCCCATCGCCTTTTATTATTACCCACCGGGAAAAAAAAGACCAGCACACTTTGCGAAACCCTATTATCTCGGCTGTTTCTACCATATTTGTTCTTTACTTATTTACCACACACAAAACACAAAAAAAAAAATGGAGCACTGTTTTTTTCGGCCTTGTGTCCAGCCTTTTTTCTCTTCGTCGGTCTCCTCCTTCCTCTTCTTGTTTTTTCCCAGTCTATTTTAGATGGAAGAGAAGAAGAAACCTCTCATCGAGTCATCGTGTAATTCGTGCTTTTCAATATTATCGCTCAATTGAATCCGATTACTCAATGGCATAATGAGCGAAAGGGCTCAGTCAGTTCGGAAAACTCTTTTCTCTCCTTCTCTCTCCCTCATAAGACACCACTCGTCCCACTTCTTTTTTCTTGCTTTATCGTATGGAGCACTGTGATCTCGGACAACGGGGCAAGATGGTTACCCTTCCTCCAATGATGCTCCCGGTTGAGTGTTCATCTCTCGCTGTTCATCATCCGCTACAACAAAAGAGAAACAAGAGAATGGCAATACTCGCAACGAGGGCGAATTCACACCCTACAGTGATCCTGATCTGCTCTTCCCTGTGTACTCCTCTACTCTTTCGACACCCCTTCTGTGCTGAATGTATATCGCACACAGACAACAAAAACGAAAGCAAGTCAGTCGCACCAAAATAAAAAAAAAATCTGACCCGGATCTGATAACATTTTGAAGCGGAACGCCAAATCAAAACATCACAACACCACAAGAAAAACACTTATCAGATCCTTTTCAAGGGGGAAAAATAAAATGCAGCTACAGAAGGGGTGAGCAAAAGAGAAAGGGAGGGAGGACAATGTTCCACACGCACTAACGACGACACTCACACGTACACGCAACGCCCACTGTACTCGTACATACTCTTGCACTTACACACATCCAGCATATCCAACTCACTTACATTCACACAGAGCACTCAAACGAGCGAGCGAATAGATGAAAACGAAGACAACAGTATAACTTGAGTCTACTCGACTCGGTTCGACTGATGGGCCGAGACTGAACAGCCAATGATCACACTTCACCGCCACAAGCTGCTCTTTCAAGTGTAATGGGCTTTTCTTGCCTCTCTCTTTGTCTCTCCTGCCAGAACACCGCTTATGACAAAACGACAAACGAAAGAAAAACATACCTTCTCTTTTGTACCTTTAGTAAACAAACCCCGAGGCAGGTTCGACTAGTTTTCGCCCAGCAAGATAAAAAAAAAAGAGAGAGAGCTTCATATCAGTCTCTCGCAAGGCAAAGCCATCTTTTCTTCAACCTCACCTGTCAATCTAAGGGCCAGGAAGAGCGAGAGAGAGAGTGTGCTTCCTAATCAGATTTGCCTTCTTTGTCGGCCATTAAAAACCCCATCACAAAACAAATTACTCTTCTCTTGGAAGAGCGGAAGTGAACAGAGAGAGAGACAGTGAAAGAGAAGAGGGTGTTGCATCGAGGATGAGATGTTAACCACTGCATTCACGGTGAGCACAGAAAGGAAACAAACAAAATGTCAAAACTGGTCAGCAAAAGGAAGAATATAAAAGGCGCGGCACCGCACTGCACCCTCACCGCGTGGCGTGTTGTCTTGTTTGTTTGTTGACATGCCAACATTCACCACCATCCACACTCCGCAGTGCACATAATGAGAGAAAGTAAGGGAGTGCTTAGTTCAATCAAATGCACCAAAACAAATAAATAATAAAAGACGTTGGGCGTAGACCTTTGTTGACAAGTGACCGGTGGTGGCTATCTCTATTAGGGAGGGATCCACGTTGTTTCTCTTGATGCAGGGTTAGTTGGCGTATCTTTCTCAACCGAAAAGATTGAAGATGCGGATAGGCAGGCAGCAAACGATCCTACAGATCATCCCCACATCACGCAATGGCAACGCGCTCGATAGAAGAGCACACATAATTGATGACAACAAAGACGGTGAGCAATTTCGTTTGCATTTCGCCCAATGCTGCCTCCCTACTTCACCCGGAACGTTTTTTTTTGTGGTGCCGAGCGTGACAGGTCAATGTCATTTACTCTCTGTATTATCCTGAATCGCGTGTATCCAGAGTCACAACGACGTCCTCCCTCATGGGTCTAGAGATTAGTAGGGAGCAACTGCCGTTTTATTCCCTGTCCATCACACTCCATATCTTATCTCAAGACGCGACCACACCCTCAACAAAAAAAGTAGGCGCGACTTTAGTCAAAAAACCAACGTGAATTAGTACACATTGGAGCCAAAAAGAGCAAAGAAAGGTCTACAACCGAGCCTTGTCGTACCTTCCATGCTTCTCAACAAAAAAAAAACCACTCCCACCCCATCCATAGGGGGGATGGACAAAAAGATATCATCACGATGAGCTTGCCGAGGATCGAACTCGGATTACTAGATTCGAAGTCTAGGGGACTATCCATTATCCTACAAGCCCTGCTCACTGAAAACGATTGGTTGAGTTCCAGGACAGCTTTTGAAATATTTATACCCGAATAAAATAGGTCACGTGGGCACGCGCTGAATCAACGCCACCAATTTTTCGTGAGGTGAAAAAAAAACGCGCCAAAAAAGCTGTATGGAATGTTGCCCACTCCGGACCCCAATGTCCATCGCCAAGACAGTCCTTCACAAGTTTGTTGGCTACCTGGAGGCGCAGGCCTCGGAGCTGATCTGGAAACCTCGGTGCTCCGCGACGATCGCATGGGAACAGACCCAGGGTATCTCTGCCAAGAACAAGACATCCAAGTACACAGGCCCCCGAGGTGACTGGAGTCAAGGATACGGTTACATCACGCACGATGGTTTTTGTCCGTGTGGCGCTTCGCTAGCCACACATGATGAAGGAAGGTGCCCTGGAGCGACCAAGGACACACGCGCTGCTGACGAGCGGTTGTTGGAGAGTTTGTTTAGGAAGGAGGAGGTTGTCAAATGATGGAGAGGATGGGAAGAATCCCCCTTCATTCGTATCTAGTTTTATTTTTTGTCTTCCGTTTAAGCTGTGAAGAGCAGCGACAATTGTTGTACAGTACAGAGGCAGGTTTTCCGCACCAAGACTGTAGCTGGTGGATGGCGCACCAAAAAAAATATGAACATGGTGATCGTTTATATGGAGTTCTTCCATCTTTATCGATACACACATCCCTCCCGTGAGAACAAGATACCATGGGTTGTCATCTGGCACACTATCCTCTTTACTGTCTCACGCCAGGATCTTTTTTGTGCTTTTTCACGAAACGTACGACGGTTGCTACAGAAGTACCAAGATTCATAGGATCAAAAAGTTTTGTTCATCGATACCAAAAAAAACTTCCTCACATATTTCTTTATTCCTATGAATGGAGCCAACACCCTAACTGCGCTGCGCTTCCTTCCTTCAGTGTTCTTCCCCCTCTTCCCTCCATATCATTCTTCACAGTTATTATGATCAACACAGACACACAACACACACAACGCAACGTTACCTGAGCTAAACAAGACTACGCGGCTCTTGTTCCTATCACATCAAAAGATCCTCAAACGGCCATAGCGAGTCATTTGCATGCTTTTGCTGCTGCTTGTCATCAAAAAGTCCTCATCCAGCTAACCCCTTGACCTCCAAACACACTCCCTTTTTAACGGCTGAAGGTGCGAAACACTACTGCCGAGCAGTAAGTCCACCACCCTTCCAAAAAACCGCCGCAAACAACAACGCATCACATACCCAGAGCCCCCCCAATCATTTTTTTTTTTTGACTAACTCTTTTGTTTTGTCTACTGTACCCAAATACCATTGGCGACAGCTCACTGTACCCAAACAACTTTTGGCGACAGCGTTGGCAAAAAAAACAGGTCTGTACCCAATGACCAATTGGCGACAGACGACTGTAGGAAGGAAAAAAAAAAAGAAGGGACAACCTGCATATGGATTTATTTGGTGAAAGGTGGGGGGGCAAAGAGCAAGGAAAAGGCTTGTGAAAAGATAAAGAAGCATTGTGTGAAAAAGTATTAACGAAAGTGAGGAGAGAGAAAGAGTATAGAGAAAGGGTAATAAAGTATAGTTTTGCTGTTTGTACATCGGTGGCCGACGAGTAAACAGAGGGTAAGAAGAGTGTGCAAAAAGAGAAAATGGGGTCATCAATTCAGCATGTGCGATATTTTTCCGACCTGCAAAGAAAAATGGTTCCAGGAGGACTGGACAGAGTCGAGCGGGCAGACGACCTCAGCAATAAGAAAGAGTGAGAGTGAGAGACGATATAGGCACAAGGGTGTGTCAGTCTCGTTTCCTCAAGACATATGTTGTGTCTTTAGGAGGCGCGTGTTCCAGGTGCCATCCAATTACATCATGTCCATCTCTCCCGCAACGTAGTCATCGTATCGATAACTAATGGAGAAAAATTATGGAAGTTAGCAGGGCAGAGAGAGAGGCAAGGAGACATGACAGCAATGACCCTCAAAAGCAAAACAGAACAAAGTAATATACCTTTTCCGTCGATGGCTGGCGAATCCGACATCGTCGTCGCTCAAGTCCGAAAAATCATCCTCGTCGCCATCCTCGCATGGTGCACCATAGCTATAAAATAACAAAAAAAAAGATGTCAGGAAAGAGCGGGCATGTCAGTAAGTTACACAGGTGAATAAAACAACGGAATATCAGATGACATCCATGTGGAATTGCTTATTTTTGGCATCCAATCCGATTCAAGGTCCCTGTCCAAGATATGACCGTACCTGACTCCTCGCATTGTAAAGTAAATGATTCTTTTCAGTTTTCGGTTGAAAAAGAAGTAGTTGAACGACCATCTACACCAATTGTTTGTGAGAACAAAAAACGATAGCTGGTTAGTACTCCACATCCTACAAGTCCTTGCATCAAACTTACGCGAAGAGAAGCAAAAAAAAAGAAATAAAGAAGCGGAGACGTACAAGGTGCCGGCGCCCTCCTCGTCGTTGGGGTCAGAATCACTCTCGGGGTTGTATGAGTAAACATCCGAGTCCTCAAAGTCGATGAGGTTGTCGATTGAGTCCCAGATCCGGAGCTCCTTGACTGCACGATCATTCCCGTGGTTCAGCAGAGTCGAATTGACCGAGTTGACCACCATCGATACTGATGGTTCTTTCCGGAACTGTTCAGGCTTTGCATCTCTATTTAAATTGGAAGGTGTTTGCATTTCAGTCATTGGTTAATTAGCAAAGCATAATGAATCATACCCGAGGAGAAGGGAAGGAAATAAAAAAAAGAAAGAAAATAGAACAGTGCATATTTGTGTGGTGAGTGCATCGTTGGAAAGAACGAAAGAAAGATCCAAACCCAACAAACAAACAAAACAAATACCAACACACGGACACCACCATTTGTGGATCGAGCCCTCACTCTCTTTACTCCGTCTCTCGACTGTCCTTTGTCTCGTCCGCGCCCAAGTATAGCGCCGGGACAGACTCTAAAGGACTTGTCTTTTGCCTAGAATTGAGTTCCCGATCCGCAATAACCCCAGAATATGATATCATGTCATATTTTTGGGTTACCAGTCATCATTTCATGTATCTCTCCCTTTCTCTCACTCCACTCAAAGTCCCTCGTCTGTGTGAGCTCTTTCGTCCCGTCGTCCGTCAGTTGTTCCAGCTGTTTCTGAAAGTCACATGAATGGACCCGCCTAATTTGCCAACCAATTTGCCCTAGCCCGTGTCTTGTCCTCTAGGGTCAAAGTTGTTGTTGGTGTTGTTGGGTAAAGAGCGACGGGGGTGAAAGAAGCGCGCGAAGGGGGTAACCAATCGACAACAGGGAGAGGGAGGGCCAACTTACGAAAAGTCATAGTCTGGGAAGGAGGCATTGAGGGTGCCGATCAAATAGAAAAGAGTTCTCCGGGAGGCCGGTTGGTCGAGGGGTCCAAAGGGCGAGATGATGTTGCGGAAACTACTGCTTGGCCCATCGGTAGAGTCGGGCGGGCTATTGGATGGATCGTACTTGATCTCGATTTGTTTGTAAAGCTTCTTGTCCGCTCCTGCTGCCTTGCCTATTCGCGTGTTTTTTGTTGGTGTGTGAGGAAGAGGTAGAAGAGGAAGGGAGGAAGAGGAAGAGGAGTGAAGGAGGGAGCCAGAGAATAGATAAAAAGGGAGAGGAGAGGATAGAACAGAAGAGAAGGCCGAACCAAAAGAGGGGTGGTGGTGAGAAGGAGAAAGAGAACGGGGACGGAGGTGTGTCGAAAAAGAAGAAAAACCAAGGAGACAGACAGGAAGAATGAGTATGAATGGTGCGAGAGAAGGAGGAGTAAAGAGAAAAAAGGGTTTATGGGTCAGGGACGATTGTCATCAAAGAACAGAGGGAGTAACCATCACCATCCGACAGGCAACACCACAACCTTCATCAGTTAGATGGCTAAAAGGAGAGAAGGAGACTTACAGGAGTAGGGCTCAACTCTGCCGTAGACTTTGCATTCAGCTGTTTCGAAGACGAGGGCGCTGTTGATGGCGTCTATGCCTGCGTACTCAAGGAACTTCATCTCTGTTATATGTGTGTGGTTGTGATGGAGAGACGAGGGAGTAGTTGTGTATAGTGATGGTGGTGGTGGTAGTGCGAAGGGAGGTGAGAGTAGAGAAGTAAGAAGGAAAGAGTGTAAAGTGTGAACCTGTCGGAAGAAAAGAAAGTTGTAGCCGCAGAGAGTCGTACAAGCGGGTTGTTGCAGTTGTATGTATTGTTGGTTGGGTAGTCAGGTGTTATTGGAGAGATAGGAAAAGTGACGAAGAAATATGGAAAAGAGAAAGAAAAAAAAAGGCTTGAAAGGACGGCATCTACATGTATTGTTCCAATCCATCCTCCCTTGTCAACTCCATGCCGGAAGGACCGTTTTTCTTGCTTGTCCGCTATTCTCTCTTTTTACTTACTACCATCGCCTTCACGAGCCATTCCGAGCTGTCAAGAAAAGTGAGAAGAGTACCTGTTGACCAGGCTCGACTAAATAGGATTTCTGATCTCTTTGCAAGGCAGATAAAGTGATCAGTGATGGTGCCCTGGATGGATGGTGGATCGACCTTCCGCTGATCGTCAATCGTTCTTAGGGCATAAGAATGAAGGAGCATCATCATTTGCAAAATGTACCCGGTCACCATTGCTCGTGTTTTTCATAAGGGAAGAGATATTGATGCAAAAGCGAGAAAAGAGAAGAGATATCCGGCGTCAAGTCGTTTCACTATTCTCCTACGAGTCGCAGAACAAAAAAAAAAAGGACAGAAGGACTGAGGATCCCCCCTCTCCTCCGTCTCCAACTACTCCACGTTCCTATACTTCCTTACAGCTTGTGCGCATGAACCTGTTTGTCCAGCCGTCCAAAGAACTTTGCAGCCTGTTCAGATAGGACAAATCGTTCAGAACCCCCAGCAACGTGAATGATCTTTCCCTCTCTGACTGGCCCCCCCCCTCACCTGCGAAATCTTTCAGGCAGTCGCTCTGACATTCAGTCAAGTCCTTTTCATCTCTCATGAGCCAATGAGGACAGACACCACGGCTCAAAAAGCTCCGAGAGGCCTGGTGAAGTGACCACCCACTCACATCGAGCATACCACAACGAGCCTCTAGATCGCCCACGATGGGCACAACGCTGGAGACACTGTCATATTTCCCTTCTTTTCCTAGTATCAACAGCACGAAAAAAAATATATGCCATTGTCAAACATGGACTAAGCGAGCACAGTCAAACACAAGATGTGTGCCAAGCCGGCACACGCATATCCATCAAAAAAGTGCTAGATCGGGCACACGCACAGGTCCTCAGAAAACGTTCCAAAGTTATTTACAGGTCATTTTTTATTATCGTGTATTCATGTCGATATTTCTAAATGCAAAAAGAGAGAAGGGTGTCATAGGAAAAAAAAGGTGATTTACAGCTTGGACTTGGGAGCCTCCAAAAGGGTCTGCTCAAAGAGCTGCTTCATCTCGGTGGCAGACTCCTTCAAGTAGTGGTGCAAGCGCTCGGGGTGCATCTCCTTCATCGAAGCAACGTTGAACGACAAGTTGTTTTCGTTAACCATGTAGGCAACTCCGTAACCATCAGGGACAACCTCACCCCAACCGTATCCATCAAAGTGCTCTCCGGACAACTGAGAAGTCGACAAGTTCCAGTGGGACGACCGGCTGAAGATCTCCTGCTGGAAGATCGTGGGCTTGGACTCGTGCGACTTGAGCGAGAGACGAAGTCCCAACAAGTGACGGTCGCAACCTTGGCCCTCAACGGCCTTGGACATGTATCCGATGTGGGAGTCAAGGGCCTTCTTGAAGAGGGCAGTCTTCTCGGCAGCAGAGACGTGAGGGTCCTCCATGGACTTGACCCAGGCGACAGACTCAGTCGAGACGGTACGGCAGGTCTCGGTACGACCGTGCTGGAACTTGCGGACCTGAGCAGACTCGTAGGTGGGACGGGAGACGCCGTGCATCTTGAAGTAGGCGAGCTGGATGATCATCTGGACGTAGGCATCGGGCGAGCACTTGAACTTCTTGATCAAGCCCTTGCCGTATCCCTCGTAGTTCTGGACGTGCAATCCGTGCTTGCCAATCAACTCCTCAAAGTTCTTCTCCGAGGTCTCGATCGCCTTGTGGACGGCGGTGTTGAAGGCAAAGTTGAGCTTCTGGGGTGCCTCCAAGGTGGCAGAGACGGTGGCCGAGCCGTGGTCGATCTTGTTCTGGGCCAAGGTGGAGCAGACATAGTCGTTCAAGCGGCAAGTGGGGGTACCATCCATAGTCGAGTGCTATTGTTACCAAAGAGGAATCAGGATCCATGGTTAGCATTTGTCGTCATTTGATGCATTCTGAATGGTAACAGGACATTGAAAAAAAAAGACTTACCTCGCCCATGAAGCCGGCCTTGCCGTTCTCAAAGACAATGAACTGGAGGGCCTTGTCGAAGAAACGGTTGCGGCCATCTCCGTGCCAGCAGGCGCGGGAGACCTCGTCGCGGGTGACGGGGCTGGAGTCATCCAAGCAGAGCAAGAAGACCGACGACTCGATCTTGCGGAGGAGCTCCTCGTTCTGAGAGCCAGCGTTGATAAGGGTCTTGCGGGCCTATTATTTTCAATGTGGATATGATGAGTTACTGTCAATTAATGTAAATCAAGAGTGGTGTAGTTGTTGTGACATGCTCTAGAGCCACTGTGTATGTCATTCAATCAAGTATGGTATGGTCATGGGTCATAGGGTTGAACGTGGGAAGGATAGGTGGGGAGTAGATATCTGATCGGAGATCAAGGCAAGACAAGAAAGCTGTTCCAGTGTTCAGCCGGGGAGCCGATCAGTGTGAATGAACGACGACAATGGTTTGATGTTTGATCCTCTTGCACTCTCTTCTAGTACCTCCCATGCCCATGTGATAGTGAACTCCAGAGTAACAGAAGACCACGAAAGAGCCGAAAGAGAACAACGGAGCAACGAAGGGCGTCGTCGATCGAAAATAAAAAAAATAAATAAAAAGGGTATAGTTGTGCGGGGTTGAAGAGTTGTGGACGACAAACACAAAAAAAAAAGGAGGGGATGGTGGGGTTGGGAATGACGGAAAATGATCTTGCCCATACAGCAGCCTCGCCGATGGGGAAGGGAAGAAATGAAAAGAGTTCGCTTTGAAGTGTGGATAATTGACAATGAAGGTTGTAGCCAAATAAAGTAATACTCCCTTGTGTTATCGGTATGCCCTGAATGGATGTTGCCCCTTGTGAATGGCATGAGAGTAGGTAACACAATTAACGAAACCAAACAAACACGTCCACTTTGCAGCCACGAGTTGTCGTTGTGGTCGACAAAAACAAACAAACAAATCGATATGCCCGACAATGACGATGCACACACAAGAGAGGAGAACGACAGGATAGATCTTACAAGTCCGGCTTGTTGTGTTGTCCATGTGAGAGCGCAGAAAAAGATTGAAAAAAAAAAAGTGTCGGTTTGTGCTGTGGGTTCACAACAAAGTGAAAAGATAGAAAGAAAAGTCGAGAGCCCTCTTCTCCGTATCATTGTAATCAACAAAAGTAAAAGCGGATCGCTTGGCTTGAAGCCGATCCCTCACTCTTTTCTTGGCTCCATCCTTTCTTTGCTTTCATTATTGTCGTTTTGGATGCAAGAAGCTTCTCGGTCCGGGCGTGTTGTGTTAAGTAAAGTTTGACCATCATCGGCCCGACCGATCTCTCTTGTTCCAACCCACACTCCATTCGCCCGTCCAATTATCACCCATTGTTCGCACACCCACACCCAACAATCCGAGCGCATCATTCCACTCAACAAGAAAATAACAATAATTACCTCGGTCCAGATGTCACGGTTGTCAGAGGTCAAGACACCGATGGAGGGGTCCTTGCGGTCGCCGGCCAACTTGACGATGGCATCCAACTGAGCCTCAATATCGGCAGTGCTCAAGACCTTGCCGTCCTTGACCAGATCGAAGGTAAAGAACTGGTTGTGGCGGACAACGGCAACGTGGTTGTTCTGGGCAGGGTCAAAGGCCAACTCGAAATCGCTGGGCTTAGCGGGGTATCTGCAGGCGTTGAACATGTACTTGTAGGTCGAAGAGTCCAAGGGCTGCTTCTTGACCATTTCAGGGGCAAGCGACTCATCAACGACCTGGCGACGGAAGTCCATGGCGGATTGGATGATGGCAGCGGCACGCTGGGTGGGCTTGCGGCGGAGACGATCATCCTTGTAGGCGTAAAAGTACGAGACGTAGATGACGACGGGATCACGGTATCCGAAGTAAGCAAGGTCGTTCCACCAGTCCTCGAGCCAGTTGACAGTCTTGGGGTCGTTGGCCTTGGCAAGAAGACGCTTCTGGAGCTCCTCACCAACACCGCCGGGCTTCTGGAACTCGGCAACGGCAGCAGTGGTCTCGGCAAACTCCTTGTCGTTCAAGAGGGGACGGACCGACTTCAAGTAGCGGGCACAGGTGTCGGCCAAGGTGGGAACGGGCAACTTGGGGAGGGCAGTGTCGTAACGGTAGAGGGGACCCTTGGTCATATCGGGCTGGCCCAATCCGGCAGGAGCGGCAGCAGCGCTAGTATAGTTTCTGTAAAGCATGTTGGAGATGACCTAATTGCAGCAGGGTTGAAATGAATGAGATGAATTAGTGTTTTGTTGTGAAAGAGTATTGTTATAATTATTTATGTTTGTTTTCCTGTTCCTGAGGGACAATGGCAACAAGGAATACATAGAACAAGGAGAACGTACCTTGGGTTGCTGAGGCTTGAGGGTGTTCTTGAGGGAGTTGAGGAGGAAGGGTCTGGAAGCAGTGGCGAGGGCGCGAAGAGACATGAAGGATAGAAGCAGGAACGCGGAGGTTGTTGAAGGTGTTTGAAGGACGGGAAGAAAAGAGAGTAGGGAGGAAGGGTAAAGGAGGAGGGAGGAAGAGTGGAGAGTGAAAGAAGAAGAGGAAAGAAGTAAAAAGAAAGAAGGGAAATAAAAAGACGGTTTGTCCAAAGGAAACAGGAACAAGGCCCTTTTATATGGACACACAAGGCATCAGTGTACACACCCCCACGCTCAATTCTGATTGGACAATTGGTTCCCTCAGAACAAAATAATGGCTCTGATGCCGTCAGAATCAATCCCGTTCAAGTCCGGGGATCTATTCATCATGTGACCATCTCTTCAAGTTCTCCCACGGCCAATTTTTCACCCATCTTGCCCAACTTGGCCAACCTCAAAGCCTCAAAAAAAAAGAAGGTGGATCGCGGGCAAAACAGGGCAGGGTCATTGCCCATTGTCAATCGGATCGTGGCTTCTTGTGTTCCTGCTGTTGCTGTTCTCCACAAACCTAACCTTCTATTTTCCCCTCATTGTTCCTCACTTCAACTCTCACACTCTCCGTCTCAGACAACAATCTGTGCACCCGTGCTCTCCCCCCCCCTCTCCCCAACCCTTTTTTCCAACCCTCTTCCTCCTGCACTTTCCGACAGGCCATCTTTTTTCTATTTTCTTTACACCTTGAAGCCAACAAGGTCATCTCCTCTCTCTCCGTGGAGGATATCGGAACTAGAAAATCCATTGTTTAAAAAAAAAAAAGCGGCCAGTGTTACTATTTACTTTACTCCTCTGCGCCAGTTTCGTTTCCAACGGACAATTATTCATGTCTTTACTACGCAGGGTCCGCGCCTCTGTTAACTTCTCTTCACTCCTCCCCTTTTGAAAATTGAAAAGAGATCTTAGCCCCGCGTCACTTGCATTTCCGAAATCTTCCTAGGAAGAACGAACTTTCAAAACATTCAGACCTTGCCCACACACACACACACACACACCAAAACCCACGCTCAACAACTTGCAACCTGCTGACCGTCTTTCCAACCATTGATGGTTGGGTTTTGTGTTGCTGTTTCTACTGTCCAATTACATCTTGCGTTCCAAGTAGGACGTCCTACAGTGCGAGTTTGTTTATTCCTGAATAAACAGCCGGCGCATTGAGGTAGGATGCTGGTTAGGCCGACGCTGTGGCGTTCTTATGTCGAGATATCTCTTGTCGTCCTCATTTTTTTTAAAAAAAACGCAGTAAGACGCCAGTGGGTCGCCGGCTGCAATGTAGGTTGTGAAAGAGAATGAAAAAAGGTGCAGGCAGAATAGATATATAGGACGAGATTTATTAAGAGGCAAACGGAGATACTTTACAAAGGAAACGATAATACAAAGTTGTAGACAATAAGCGAGAATGAAAAAAAAAACAATAAAGAAAGGGGTATGTGTGTAAACGAGAAAGCAGGAATTAGGCAGAAAACAAAGGGTAGAAAACGTGACAGAAAAGGAGGGCGAAACAAGGAAAAGAAGAGTAAAAAGACGAAGACAATGTTGACGAGTGGAAGGAAGGAAAAGGAAATGGAAAGAAGAGGAAAGGAGGAAGAGATGAGAATCGATCTCTCCCTTTATATCCGCCGGGCCAGCTCAATTGTTGGGGCATGATATTCGTTTTTCTCCATGGTTACGATGGCGTGCGGCTCTGTCCTCCAAGTGTAGTAGTAGTAGTAGTGGTGATAATGGCGACAGACGAAATGGGGGTATCTTTTGGTGGTGTTTTGGTGGTGTCGATTAGATCATGGAGTCGTCGGATCAAACAAAACCTGGGCAAAGCTCTTGTTGTCTCCTGACTCCAGTTTTTTGTCGTTGTCAGGTCCGGTCCATTCTTCAGACGAGCCTCATTTCCTACTGGCGCTCACTCTTGCCCTTGGAGCTGCCGTCCTCGTCATCACTGTCATCCTCATCCGCGGACTCCATGCTGAACAGCACATTGCGGAGTGGGCTTCCAGTCTTGGGCGATGTCCTTGGGGAAGTCCGTGGAGAGGATCTGGGTGTCGACCTGGGTGATGGTCCCCTGGGAGAAGCCGCTGGCTTGGGAGACATCTTTGGTTGTTGCTGTTGCTGTTGAGAAGAGTCCCGGGCTTCATAAGCAGGGGCAACAGCACCTCCACCACCGATGTGGTTCTTGCCGCTGCTACTGCTGCTACTCGAGCTTACTCCAGCAGAGGACATCGGCTGTTGCTGAGAGAAACCCCTTCCGCTTCCTCCCCGACCAACGATCCGGCTTTGCCCTAACTCTGCCTCGTCCAAATCGGTCAACGACAACCCCACATATCCATGTGTTCCTGGCCGTCTCGTACGTTGCTGATGGTGGTCGTCATCCTCCGAACGTCTTGTCCAGAGGAAAGAGTCAAGAGTTAAGGCTGGGGTGTCGATAATTCCCGAGTCGTCCTCACAGATCGCACCAGTGAGCACAGCCTCGTCGTAAGCAACCTTCCATGCCAAATACAACACTCTCTGCAGGACAATTAGGAAGGGTCCGTTGTAGAGGACAATGTCAACGACAATCTCCAGAGGGATCAGGATATGCTTGGTGTCCTTGTACATGGTGCATAGCTTCAACAGCGTAAAGTGGATAGGGATGTATAGCACGCACAGGTACCACTATTGTTTTTTGACGACAGGAATCGCATTTGGGTTAGGGAAAGGGACAAGACAATAACCAATTGTGCGTGCTAATTACACAACTTTCATGATTATTTACCTTGTAGGCCCAGAGGTCTCTGGGGAACTTGCCAAAGAGCACGACGCCGCTCTGGGCAGGTCGCGTCACGACATGGAACAGGAAGATCATGCCAATCGCATACCAGATCTGGCTGGTCATCCATCGGATTCCCTTTGAGGACCAGTCGTAAAAGGGCAGCGGCTCTTCCCATCCGCGCAGCATGTACAACACGTTCGAGCAGAGTGTGAGGACCGTTGCAGTGATGCACACGGCGCCCATTACCCTGTAGTTTCCGGCGACTGGGGGTGGCATCAATGCTAATTAGAAATAAAACAGATATCGGTTTAGTCGGTTGTGTCACTTTACAACGTCAACCCAGCGTGAAAGTTGTTGCTTTTCTGTTTGCCCATGATAAAGTGATGGTTATGTCTCCTTCAAAGTATCGGTACAGTGCGGCGTATGGTATTAAACGGACGAAGAGGACGAAGCTAACGAAGGAGGAGGCTGAAGTGGCTGAATACCTTTTGCGATGGACTCGTTGGTGATGTGCATACGGTTACTATGAATAGACAGACAAAAATATACGGGCTTAGTCAAAGGAGGCGTAAAGAAGAGAGGATAGAACGAAGTGCTCTGAAAATTGAAAGTTGAGAGATGGTTGAGAACAAAAGATGAAGAAAGAGACGAAGACTGGGTGTTTTCAGCATTGAGCAAAGTAATTGTTGCAAACTCCTTACCTCTTTTGACGACAATACGCCAACAAGCCAAGCATAACAATAATGTCAAAGATAGGTCCAAGTACCGACGAGATCTAATCAAACAGTTATTGAGGAGAGGGTTAATATGTCTAGTGGTTTTGAATTTTTGTTGTTGTTCCCTCCCCCCCCTATGTCTAGCCTTTGGGCGCATCCATGCTGCCATGCTCATGCTGTCTCTAGTTTGGTAATCCCGGTTGTTGTTGTGTTTCAGTCCTGCTCTTTGATTGTTTTTCTGAAATCCAAAATGCAAATGTGACCCATGGGCCCAAGTAATTTTTTTTCCCTTTTGATTGCATACATAAAACGATTGCTAATTTTCTTGCTTGAAACGAAATAGGAGCCAGAGACAAGCGAAAACAAGGAGGAAGAAGTTGGAGAGGATGTAGACGAGAATAAGAGGAATTGTAAAATGTGCAAAGGAAGACAACAATTGTAAAAGGAGGAAGAGAAGACAAGATAAAAAGAACGGCAAGAGCAATGAAGAAGGCGCGACTTTGTCTCTTTTTTTTTGCACAGACTGCCAACTCAACACAAAACACACAGTTCAGCAACAATACATAGAGAGATGTCGGACAGAAGAAAAAAGAGAGGGAGATGGAAGGGGCGAACGAGGGGCACAGAAAGTGAGGGGTGTGCAGATGAAGACGAGAAAAGAGAGAATAAAAATCTAGGGCGCCCTCTAGGTATGTGTCCCCGGCAGGATTACGTCCTATCTAGATTCCATTTCAACTCCTGCTGCTTGCCTGCTCCCTGCCTATTCGTTTTCTGTCCATCATGGATCGCCTACTCCTACTCCTGGATTCTTTGGCCTCGCCCTTGTTTTGTTTTGTTGTTGTTGTTGACATCGCTTGTTCTTCGTTATCTCCTGGCTGCTCTTTTTTTGCTCCAGTTCTCTGTCGACTCAGTCATCCCTTAGAAAGTAAAGAAAAGGTCTCGTTTCTGTCGGGATTGTGTCCCTTTCTCTTTTTCTATCGGGCTAGCAAGTTGTATCTGCAGCTTGTCCGTTTCCCAACATGCATGTGTCCTCCCTTTCTCTCTCTTATCAACGATGATGTCCAATGTCCAATATATCCTTTAGAGTTTTCTCTCTCTTCTTTCTACCGCTTTGGTCCCTTTGTTGTATGTAGTCCTAGTCTCGTGGTCGAAGGGCGTCGATGCAAATTGAGTATCCCGCTATCCCATCCCGTTGTATATTAGTCGGTTGTTGACTAATTTTTCTTTTTCCCGTTCCATGCCATTGCCGTTCAGCCAAGTAGCTTTTACTTACAATACACCCTACAAGCAAGGGATAAAAAAAAAGACGCGGGTGTGAGTAACGAAGAGTGAACCACACATATCAGCAGGTAGACAGGATGATAGTCGTGGAAACAGCCACACTTTGGTGTCGTTTGTCGCTGCTGTGTTTGTTTGACTGACGACTCTGCGAAGTAGAAGAGGAAATAGAAGTAATAAAGAGCTGATTCCAGAAGGACTCGTTCGCATGTGGACTAGAGATGACTTTTTGTCCTTTGTTTTTTTTGTTTGCTTGTGTGAGTGAAGAGTTCGTGTGCCAACACACCACAACCGGAATATGATTTTTCTCTCTTCCACATAGAGTATGAAAAAGGGATTGAAGACGAGAAGAGACTTACAAAGGATGTAGCCAAGGATCTCCCAACGACCCATGCGCATGCGAAGGAGGACCTGATTCTCCATGATCAGGACTCCGACACCGAGGAGGGCGCTGACGAGGGAGGCATAGCTGCGCCAGTCGTCAAAGAAGGGTTGGAGGAAGGTGATGACAGCGTGGATGTTGTTTGACCAGTCCTCAAACGGTGAATTCAAGTCCCTTTCCATTATTTATGCTGTTGCTTGTTGTTGTTGTTGTTGTTGTTGGTATGGTCGTACGGGAGAGAGGGAGGTTGGTGCGGAGAAAGGGGAGAGGATTGAGGGGGGGAGAGAGAGAGAGTTGCGGGTGTAAGGCAGAGTTGTGGGACGGGGTGGATAAAAGAAAAGTCGGGTTGCCGGGTGCCGGGTTGGGTACGAGTGAGAGCGAAGTGGGCGGAAGAGTAAGAGGGATATAGAGATGGAGAGATAGAGAGATAGAGAGAACGAGAGAGAGGGAGAGAGAGGGAGAGGGAGGGAAGAAGGGAGAGAATAGAAAATAGAATGAGAGGGCGATGAAAGTGATGATGAATGGGGAATGATGAAGAGAGGGAAAGATAAAAGTAGAAGACGTAAAGAAAAAGGAGAAGGCTGTTTGTTTTTTTGATAATGTCCAGCTTGCGTTCTTTGTTACCGCTCCTTTCCTTCACTGGCTCAATACAACAGACTTCTGAGGAGGGCTCACTGGTTATCATGAGGACTTGGGCAGGAAACATGGTACTGGTTTATTATGAGCACATGTAACCGCAATTACACAGAAACAAACAAAACAATCGTCGGCTCGCCTTCACATCCACATCCCAACCTTGGAAGAGATAGCCAGCCAGCCAGCCAGCCAGCCAGCCTGGTAACTCATCATCTGTTCTTCAATAGCCGCTAGTTCGTTGCATCCATCCTCGATAGTCCTCATCCTCTTTTCTAGGTTTAGTCAGCTCTGGAGTTGATCGATCGGAATCTCAAAGTGCCTCCATTGTCCAATCAAATAATAATAGCTGGCCTGCGCACAGCCAATTTCATTGTTTCATCTTTTGCTCACGCAAAAGGGTCCACCCCTACCTAGGGGTGGACGGTATAGGCATTCATCCGGTTTACTTGTATGACAGTAAGACATCGATGGGGTGAAGCCAGAAAGGTATTACAGGGGGGCTTTTTTGTTCGAGGTGGTGAGTGAACAATAAAAAGATTCGAAAGAGTGATGTTTACAAGGAGATAGTTAATTGACGCGCGATAGGGGGTAGAGGCAGAGTACAGACAGTAGGTTGTATTCAGGTTGACGAATGTATGAGGGGCAGTTCTGACATTCCTAGAAAAAGACGATTATTGACTAACGCGTAAACAGGGGTGAAGGCAATGAGATATTTCTGATGAGAGGTTTTATTTAGATGTTGAGTGGACTATTAACGAGGTGGTGGTTCTAATATTCCTAGAAGGCAATGGTTGATTAACGCTTAACTAGAGAAGGAAGGATGGAGGGAAGGAAGGAAGAGGAAAAAGAGACTACACCCTTTAAACGGAGCAGATGGCCTTGATGGCAATGACCTCCTTGGCCTGGATCTGGGTAGCAGCCGAGGCGCAGATACCAGCAGCAGCCTTGAACTTGGCAGCAACGGACTCAGCAACCTTAACCTGACCAGTAACGTTAATCTTGATCAAGAACAAGTTGACCGAGAACTTCTTGACCTGCAAGTCAACAGCGGCCTTGATCTTGGCAGAGAGCGAAGTCTGGATCTTGGCTTGGATCTTGGCAGAGGCCTTGACGGTCAACTTGGCAGCCTCAGAGACAATCTTCTTGGCTTGGAGCTTGATGCAGGCGGCATCGTGGGCGGGGCAGACCTTGGTGATGATGTTTCCGATGTTGACCTTGAGGTTGGCAGTGAACTCGGCCTTGACCTCAGCATCGACCTCAGCCTTGACGGCAGCCTTGACAGAGGTCTTGAGAGCGCCGGACAACTTGGTACCCAAACCGAAGTCAGCGTTGATCAATCCGCTATTAGGGATAGGTAGGTAGTTACAAGGATGTCAGATTAGCAATTATGTTGTAGGGAGGAATGATATACAAGGGAGAGAAAGAGTGAAAGGAAAAGAGACAAGAGGGAGTATTCATTGAAGAGAATGAGGGTTCGATAGACTGAAAATGTGCCAAAGTCTATGGTTCTTACCTGACTTGAACGTTCAAAGAGGTGGAGATGGCAGCGGAAACATCGGCGTCGGTGCAGACATCAGCAAAGGCCTTGACAACAATCTTGGTGTGGTCCTTGACCAACAGATCAACAGTGGCACCAAAAGCAGCCTGGGGGATAGGGAGACCGCGCTTCTCGATCTCAAAGCTGGATGAATTCTCGACCTCGAGCTCGAGCTCGGCGTTGGGAGTGCGGTAACCGATGGCAGCGGCGTTACAGGAGATGGCGAAAAAGGCCAAGAATAGGGCAAAGAAGGTGGCGGTGGATCTCATTTTGGATAGTTTGGTTGGTTGGTGGAGTGTGGGGGAGAGGTGGAAGGTGGAGTGTGGAGAGAGGATGGTAAGGGTAAGGGAGTAGGGAGTTGGAGGAGGTAGATGTGTTATCTAGACGGCCAAAGTGTGTGTGGCGATTGGGAAGGGAACAACTGGGTAGTTGTTTCAGTGGGGTTTGGTGGTGAAGAAGTTGTTGAGGACTAGTGAAGTGAAGAACAGAAAAAAAACGGTGGACATGCCAGTGCTTTTATACTCGATTCGACACGGATGGTTGTTCGGTTCTTCATGTCGACAATTGGAAACACACATGTCAACAAACAAGAATACAGGCACCCGGGCAGACAGAAATAGAGTCAATCTACAAAGAGAAAAAAGGCATACCAGTTGAGTAGAACAGCAAAGAGGAGCTCCTCTTCACAGGGTGTGTGTGTGTGTGTGCCTGTAATGTGAACGAGCAGAGACACAAACAACAGACGCTCCTGCCAACCGCTCTCTTCAAGATCCTCGTAAGTAAATATGAATAGAGTGCACGAGTAGCGCAGGGAGTGAGCCCGCCAAATAATCACGCTCTCCCTCTATCTTGGAGGAATGGGGGTGAGGGGACTCGAGGGAGTGTCAAAGGGATGCACTGCAGATACTCAGCCTTTCGTACCTTTTATTTTTTTTTACTTTCACTCACCACTCAGCAACAGACAGGCAACCATATGAATATTGTCTGCATCAGACGCTTCCCTCTTCCTCTCCGCCTCTCCATTCGAACGAACTGACACACACATGCACAGTCTCCTTCCTCTTGACATTGGGAGCTCTTTTTCAGTGGGTGAAACGTTTTGTTTATCGATCCAATTGCCCTTTCTTCGGTTTGGGATGCCGCAACAACAATCCAATCCATGATGTCCACTCTGTTTCTTATCGAAGTGGCGATAAAGAAGGAGAATAACAATAACAACAGCGGTAACAGCGTCGTTTTTCAGCCAGCCTTTGTCAAGAAGCCTGGTCACCTTATCAATTCAGGTACAGGGACAATGCTAGTTAATCGAACAATCGATATCGACTGAAATACCTTAATCATCTATTTAACTCGTTTGGGCAGGTTATCAGGAATGGCACAATTGCTGGCGTAACCAGGAGGGTGCTCTACCTTGTGAAAAACGTCCATTATCAATCACCTTTTGAAAATGTCGACTGTCCAGCAACAAATCGATACCTTCCAAGGGAAAAAGTCTTCAGCCTTGGAATGCTAAGAGCGGGCAACATTCCAACCCACCACATGTGTGCAAGGTCATTCCAGCCTTCACATATCATATACCCGCAAAGTACCTTCTTGTCCTCCATCCCTTCTCCTTGTGTTCCTTCCATCCCTCATGTCTGCAAAGAAGAAGTGGTACCACGCAATTTTGTTCTGCATGTTCATATGAAGGAAAAAGAAAAGAAAAGCGCCACCAGTCCATCTTGTGCACCACGAGGTACGTGGACGATAGGCATGCAAGAACCATCAAAAAGTCGAAATTTCCTCCCTCTCAAATTGCACGCATGTATTCTCACCTTGTACCCTCCAATACACCATTCTTCCAAACCTTGCAGCGTTGAGACGAGGTAAGGAAAAACGGAGTGAATGTTACGATGGCATGACCCTCAAAGGTAGAGAGGTGTCATTATCTCACTCTCTGAAGTCTGAAGTATAATGTCCGGTTGGATACCTCCACTGTGGTAAAGCCCTCTTGCCCTCCTCTTAAACTGTTCGAGATGTTGAGAGCACCACCACTCGAAAAATTCACAGCGCTAGGCGCCAGTTATTTTCCCCGCAACGCTCAGGTCAGGAGGTTCCCCTGCTCTTAACCGTCTTCACCGTCTTACTCTCCCCTGCCCCAGTTCAAGGATGTCTCCTCTCCTTTCAAAAGAAAAAGTTCACCTTGGATCCCTTCATACTTAACAAGTTAGAGGGATTCGAGAATATATAGTGTGAAGCATAAAACGAACGTTCTCTATTTATACAACAATATGGTTTTGTGCGACATTGGCATTGGGGATGTGAATTAACCGTTGTGCATTGTCACGAGCAATGAAAGAAAGAAAAAAAACAGAACGAGGGCTGATACACGAGGTATGTTACAAAGAAAAGGAGGAAAGTGTTGGAGAAAAGAACACAAGCACGAGCATCCACTTGATCGTTCCTTTCATTTCTTGACCACCCTCGCATACAATTCCTCCTCCTCTGGCACAGAAAACTTCATCCCCTTCACATTCCCTCTTCTTCGTTTTTGATCGTTGTAGCCACTGCAGTTGCAAAGAGAGTTTATGTCGCTTTGGCCCGTGAGGTACTTTTTTTCTCCCCTCGCTCCTCCCGTACATGAGCGTTTAGACCCATTTTTTGTTGTTCGCGCTGTGTGTCCCTTTCCACTCGCTCTCCTAGCCCTACTTCTCAACCCTACTTCGCTCATTTGCCCTTCGGAACATAAAAAGAATGGACCTAACCTCTCAAGGCTGGATGATGGACAAGGTGTCTATGCTTGAGAGCAGTACAGTACAGTTAATTTGGGTCTCCGTTTCTCCTTTCATGCAGCATCCCCCAACCATTTCGCTTCGCACTGCATGCTGTTGATGAGAGGGAGGAGAAGGAAATATTTTCCTGGACATCTTCGGTTGGCCCTATGTCTTTTGTGCAGCCATCTAGAACAGCGTGTTTCCTTTTCTTGATTTTCTTTTTTCGCGACCGACCCGGATTTGCATAAGAAGAGGGATAATAATAGTGAGGAAAATGGCTAGCTTGCAGAAGGTACATTGACAAAGAAAAATATCCCGCTAGAGTAGAGAACGTGTAAAGTGGCACGGGCTCTTTTTATCCACCAATGTTTTTAGCCGCCAATGTTTGTCCAAGGTGTGGAGGAGGAACTAGCCATTCGGAGAGTGAGCGAGGCACAAAAGGGAAAGCCGGAGAATGAATTCACCTTTGCCGGGCCTTACAAACTACTTTGCATAAGTCTCTTTTCTTACCAAGGGTTGCGCCCTTCTTTCATCCTGCTCCTGGCACCCGACTCTCCGTTCTCCTTGCCATTCTCATCGATGGCTCACTCCCTTTTTTTTCTTTCGCGATTACTCACTCACTCACTCCTTGTCGCCTTCAACAGCTCATGAAATGCTCTACGCTTACCAACGACAAATACCTCAACTTGTCATGGGATCCAAACAGCTGATCATTTCACTAGTCTTCTCCGATTGCTGGTGATGCGCCATACTGGTTCCTCTGCCTAGTCACATTGGCAAAAAAAGGTACCTCTCATCAAGTAGACATCCGGATCCCGGTTCACTTGTCAGCCTTTTTTTTCACCTCTTTTTCATGCCCCCTCATGTTTTTCACTCCCCTTGTCTCTCGTCAGTAATCAGTCTCTTGGTCTACCGATTTGCTCATTTGTTTATTTGATTGGGTCGCCCGGTGGCCCCTGAACGCGTTCACTCAAGTGGGCGGACAGGAACCAGGAGGACAAAACAATGAGGAGTTTTCTCTAACCTCAGAAACTGAACTGTAAAAATAATAAAGACAAACTTAATTGGACGCTCTTAACAAACAAAACGGTCCTCTTCTGCACATCTTGCCCTACTGATTACAGTACTGATGATAGAGGTATACTCCTCACCATTAACCAATGACAGGCCGCCCATCGTACCGGTGACCCTTGATTCCGATTACGTTCTGACCCTATGCACTTACTATTCGTCAACTCTTTCACCTCTTTGCTAATCGCTGTTGATGGACTGTCCGTCAATGACGTTCTAAAATAAGATGGTAGTCGGCATCTGACAGAGACCCCCCCCCCATATGTCTTTCGAGTACCGCAATATCTCACAAAACGCCGCTATGATGGCCTCACCGGGGTCACCCAGACATCTATCTCCTCGATGGATGAAACGCCAAACTCGCCCAGGATCGACTGTAGTGTTGGGAATCGGGTTTCGATCCGGTAGGTGGGGCCGAAGGCGGTCTTTTGCTCCGGGTAGGGCTTGGTGGGTATGAGAATATGTAATAGGTGTTGTCGAGTACATGTTGTTGAGCGCGAATTCGTTGAGGGGTATAGGGTCGGATCCTGTGGGAGGAGAGTTGTCGGCAGGGGAAGGAGGGGGGGAATCTTGTCACGCGCAATCCCTTTCTCTCGACACTCTCTGGCATAGTTGAGGAAGCGTAACTTGTTGTCCAAGTAAGATTGAAGGATAGTCGGATCAAAGATGGCAATATGTTTTTTTTTTGTTTTGTTGGCGTGAACTTCCAAGGTTGTTGAGCGTCTCCTGTATGACGTCTGCTATTATGTTCTGAGGGGAGTGGAGCATCCACTCCTCCATTTTTTATTCAGATTGTCGTAACAGTATTAATAACCAAAAATTTCAACATTTATTCGACAAAACCATCGAGGGGATATATATGTCAGTGGACTGTGAGCGTTGGAACCATGCCTTATAATAGACGGGCAAGACCAGGACAATACAACCCATCCTTGAATCCTCTTGACTTGCATCTCCTCAAAGCAAGCTAAAATTTTCAATGGGAACAAGGTGTCGAAGAAGCATCAGAAAGAGTTGGCGTTCTTGGTCGATATGTTGGATCAGAATGGGTTGTTGAGAGCACTCTACTGTGGTATGGAGCCAGAGTTCTTGGATCGGAAGAGCGAGCAAATTCCTGTGGACGAGATCCGTGTCCGACATGCTGACAACCTCAAGGCTATAAGTTTGTTTTCTCATGTACATATGCAGTGATCTGACGGAGAAATGAGTTCTGCGCATCATGCATATGCAAAGTATATCTGAATCTTCATCTCATTTTTGTTTGCTTGGATCATGTTGTATCTGTAGACGCATATTTACACCAATACACGAGTCCTGCAGGCTGCAGGAGACCAACCTTCTCAACAACATCAAATCGATTACTTCACTCGAGCCCGTCTTAGTCAGTGGAGAACATCATTGGCCTTTTTATTGTTCTCGCTCCCTGTCCGCACTCAATTCGATCGCCATCCATCAAGGCTTTATGAAGAAAAGTTTTCTTTTTCGCACATTACTATAGCTCGTAATACAAAGCATGTACTTTTTATTATCGACTGTGTTCCTGAGGGTGTAGAGAGGCAAGGCGTGGAAGAACAACAGAGAAACAGGGAACGAGCATGCAATGTTGCGAAAGAATAAAAAAAGTTAAATGTAGGTAAGAGGAGCATGCAGATTGGTGGCGCGCCTTTTCTATTCATTCCCATTGAGGACACTACTGTTGGTCAACTGTCGCGTTGGCTCGTTGATTCCTTTTCGTTTCCCTGTTTGCATATGCCTTGTTCAGTAATACCTCTCTTCCTTCCCCTCTTTTGAGCAGGCAGCATCGTGAAGGTGCTGATGTCCTATTCCCTCACAATGACGCATATTTGATCAAACAAGAGGCGCGTGGGCATTTATTATGTTCTTCTTCTTCTTTCTCACCTTCTCACCTTCTTACCTGCACCACACACACACAAAGACAAGCTCTCCCTTCTCTCCTTCACCATTACTCACCACAACCCATCCAACACATCCCATCCCACCCCACACGACAACGCAGCAAGATGACAACAGCCCTTGAGCCAGCTCTTGTCGACCAGACACTCGTCTCCTACCTTGTCGAACGCCTCCTCTTCGACTCTATCCAACAAAACAGCAAATCCACCGGCAGCTCCTTCTCACCTATACTGCTCAGCACAAGGTTTGCTTACATTGCTCAATACTACCACCATCTCACCATGAAACAGACCCACCGCTGGCGTGGCAGAGCCATCACCCGCCTCGGCCTTAACACCGCATCTGGTGTCATATCCTACATTTCCAACAACCGAACCCGCTTCAACATCCTTCCCGAGCGACTCACCGAGAAGCTTGTCCTTGGTGACGAGTCTATCGCCGAGGTCTGTCAGTTCATCTACTGCACCTATGTCTTACAGGGTACCGACCTGGTTGAGATCCGAAGAGGGTTCGTGACCCTTGTCCCGGAGCCTTACCGAGAGGAGATTGAGTTCTTGATGGGGATGCTGGAGAGAAATGGTCTGTTGGAGTCGTCGCATCTGGAGGTCGTCATTACCAGTAACGAGTACCTCGTTGACCTGCGGCAGTCCAAAATTCACCATGATGCCGCTGATGATTATATTCGGAAGCTTGAAGCAGTAAGTCGTTTTGATATCAACCGCTCGTTTTGTCAGTATGATGATATCCCTTCTCATTCACGTGAAAAAAAATGTTGTTGCTGACATTTGTATCTCTTTTCCCCCTTGTTCATACAGGAACGCCCACAGGACTCGATCCGACAGCGCAAGCAGCAGCAGCTCGTCGATGCTGTCCAAGAGGCCACGTCGACGGATGCCATTATCCTCAGGTGCGTTGCACTGTGTCTATGTCAGATCACCCACTGGAGCACGTGATGAGCTCATTTTGTAAGACATCAAATTGATCTTCGCCCTCAAATCAATATATTTCTCACAGCTCCTGGGCACAAGGGATCCAGATCTCGGACTATGACCTCGAACTGTTGCTGGTCGAACGGCCACCTGACAGCTCTGTCACCGCAACCTTAGAGTCTAACGAAAAAGGCCAGGAACAGTCAACCTCCCACCGCAGTACCGACGAGGAGCTGGTCGAGAGGCTCATGAGGATGACCATCGGAAAGCAGCCCCCATCGGGCCAGGAGCGCGTCCGCGACATCTACGCATTGGCGACCACGATCAAGAATGCTGGCTTCAGGTCTGTGGTCGCGGTCAAGCGATATGTCGATGTCACCTGCAACCTCAATCCTCATTACGTCTGCTTCTACGATCCGAGGACCCAACTGACCTGCCAAGTCACCCTGTACAGCCCCTCGGATCTCAGTACTCGTAACCTCCTCCAAGCCTACGCTGAAATCGACACCCGCATCGAACCGTTTATCTTTGCGGTCCAGAGGACACTGGACAACCATGGTCGCTCCCATGAGGCCCTGGGAAACTTTGCGGTTGCCATGATCGCGATCCACTTCCTGCAGACCAAGGGTATCCTTCCCAAGCTGTTGCATCAGCAGGGCCGACGCGTTGACTTTGGGTTCTTTACAGGCAAGGCCGAAAATGCGCTCCCAAAGAATCCATCTCAGGACTCTACAGGCTATGCCGCTGATCATAATCCTACCACTACTTCCTCAGCCCAGGCCAAGCCCAAGGCCAACATCAGGGTCCGACATGGTCGTAAAAAACAGCAACCACCGCAGAGCGTTCGGACTGCTTCTTCTGTTGGTGGGTCTACTGCTTCTGGCGGTACTACTTTCAGAGGAACAGCCAGTGGCCAGACTGCGACATCTTCAGGCGTCCGGGCCATCTCCTGTGCCTACGACACCGAGCTGGCAAAAGTAAGACCCTTTGACAAGAGTGTCAGCCGAAAGTCGGTCACGGACCTGGCGGTGAGCTTTTTCACCTATACGGCGGAAAAGTTTCAAGATTGGGAAGACCGACTGGTCCCAGGAGGAGATCTGATACCGGACCACACGCTTGTCGGCGCAATTGACCACGAGGGCAAGCGATGCAGCATGTTCATTCCCGGGACGGCTGTTATATGCCTCCCGCAAAAGTTCTCCGGTCTCGTCGTCCAGGATCCCTTCGTTCTGGACCGCAACCTGACCTGGTTGTGTACCGGATGGCGGTTCATGAACACCAGCAAGGCCTTTCAACGAGCCCAAACTACCGTCTCATGCAGCCACACGGGAGCCGATACCCACCAGGAACTGATTGAGGCGCTAATTGAACAGGCCGAAATTGAGGAGGAGATGCAGTACGAATTTGAGACTGGTCAGCCTGGATATGCGTCCAACCTCAGGATCTATGATGCGTGGGATGACTTTGGCGATTCGGTCACCAGCCCTCGACAGCTTCGGGATATAGCTGAAAAGATGATTGTGGGCAGCATCCAGGATCCTCACTTCTGAGTGCACTGCTGGTTGGACCATCGGATTGGTTTGTTGGAGGAGCCCTTCTTCTACTTCTTTTGCACACGCCTTTTTTTGTTATCTTTTCGTCACTTTGCTTTCTCATTGCTGTACAAGCAAATCGACCTGATATCGCATCTCTGCGTTGGACTTTTACTGTCGCTATGGGTTCTCTTGTCGTGCTTTCCTTTTTTTTTCACAAGCGATCAACACATACGCCATGCGAATAAATAAAATGGCTTTCAACTCATACAGCATGCTGAAATGTACTGGTCCTCTTTCTTGCACCACAAGCCGAGAGATAAGTGTACCCTCGACCATCCCATTTACTGACCACAAACTCACCTACTTTTTCCTCTCCCTTTCTTTTCTCCGTGTTAATTAACATGCACGAACACAGAACAAGGTCGCATGCTTTGTCCAGTGCAGTATGACAAACAGCGACCACCAGGCGACCATGTCCAAGGCAGCTGTGACCCATTTTGGCGACGTCGATATCCTGACCAACAATACCAGAATTGCAGAGCGTACCCCTCTCTGGGAAGATGACATCGGCTTCTGGAAGAATTGATCGATATCGACTTGAGTGCAGTCTTTGAGGGAACTCGTCTGGGTATTTAGGTCTTGGGAGAGCAAGGATGTGGTGGAGTCATGCATGAATGTCTCCCTCTAACATTTATTCATCACCTTTCCACAATAGTTTCTCGGAGACAAAGATTATTTGACCATCAACCAACCTCTTGTTTCATTTGTCATTCATTGCCTCTCTACGCACCTCTTCTTTCCCTTTCTTCATGCCTCTTCTGTCCTTCTTCAAGCAAAGGATAGTTGCATGGTCAATGGGTCCACGATAGAAGGTCCTACGTTTAGAGAGACGAGAATACCACATACTGCATGCTAAGCCTTTAAGTATATTTCCTTTTTGAGAGCCCTGTCAACCACCCCTCTAGTTACACACGCACTCGCCCTTGCTCTTTGTCACCCAAAATGACGCAGTCATATTTGCTGCTTGCACGTGCCACGTGGTATAAAAGGCAATCTCTCCGGCCAAAACTGTTGTTTTTTCTCTTCTTCTCTTTTCTTCTTCACTCCTCTTTGGCCCCTCCTCTTGTCGCCCACCTCTACCGTCTGGAAACCGCCGCTGGCCTGGTAAGAAAACCACCTTCCCTTCCCTTCCTTCCCTTCTCTTCCCTCCCCTTCCTTCCCTTCCTCCCCTCCCTTTCTTAAGGAACAGAAACGAACGAGGGTGTGTGTATCTGTTTCTTGTTGTATCTCCTCTCCCACACTCCCTTTCCCGTTATACTTTCCTTTCTTCGTTGTTTCTCGTTGTTGGGTGCGCGTGCGCGTTGTTTAGTCCTAGTTCCTTCCTTCCTTCTTCGAGTTTCTGTGCTGCAGCACTAGCCTTGCTTTCTTTTTGTTCCTTCCTCGCCTTTTTCTATGAGGGTGAGCGTTTGTGTCCGCACTGCTTGTTTTGCTCCTTGCGTTCTTTAAGCTCTTCTCGTCGTTTCCCAGTTCCCACGCTCTCCGGCTTCTTTCTCTTTTGAGTTATCGTGTATGGCTTGCGCGTTTGGCTTGCTTTCGTTTTGTTCCTTCCTTGTCTTTGTTTGTGGGGGTGAGCGTTGCGTTCGTGCTGCCTTTTAGGTTCCTTCTTCCCCTTCTTTACACAACTCCACAGACGGTTTTCAGTTCCCACGCTCTCCTACTTCCTTCTTTCCCTTCTTTACACAACTCCACGGTCCCCCTTTGTCCTTGAGTGATTGTCTCATCATGGTTACGTGTATACTATGTACTAATCATCAGAGATTTAATTATTGTCTTCCGTTTCGCTTTAGGGCAAGAGAGGGTGCAAGGAGGAATTCATCCCCTCCTCACCCTCATGCCTGGGTCCACCAAGAAAAGAGGGTGTAAGTAGAGTTGAGCTTCGCTCCTCCTTACACCCTCCCCCTGCAGAGATGAAAGGGTGCAAGTAGAGTCGAGCATTGCTCCTCCTTACACCCTTCCCTGCCGAGACGAAAGGGTGCTAGGAGGAATTGAATCCCTCCTTGCACCCGTGCCGCTGCCGAGATGAAAGGGTGTTAGGGGGAATTGAGCCCCCCCTTGCACCCGCCTCGGTCAAGATGAAAGGGTGCTAGGAGGAAGTGATACCCTCCTTGCACCCGCCCCAACCAAGATGAAAGGGTGCTAGGAGGGATTGAGCCCCTCCTTGCACCCGCCCCTGCCGAGATGAAAGGGTGCTAGGAGGGATTCAGCCCCTCCTTGCACCCGCCCCAACCAAGATGAAAGGGTGCTAGGAGGAACTGAACCCCTCCTTGCACCCGCCCCTGCCGTTCGGACCGACATCTGGTAAGACAAATACCTCCATTCCCTTCCTTTCCCTTCCCTTCCCATCCCTTAAAGGAAAAGAACGTGGGTGAGCGCGTGGGTATGGTGATTTTTTTCTCTGCAATTTTTTTTGGTAGCGCAAACTTTTTACTAATCACAAAACTTCTTTATCGTCGTACTACTTTAGTGACAAGAGGCTGCCAGAAAGGGGTCAAGAGGAGTCACGACCCCCCTCCCCCTCATACCTAAGTGTCCGCAATCCCGACTTGGCATGGGTGGCCGTGTGCTTGGCCGTGTCAAGGAAGTGGGTGCGCCGGCATGGTGGTCACCTTGGGGGCGTCTGGCCCTCCCAGCACTGACATATGCTGTTGGAGGAAGGCGTAATGGGGGTGCTAATCTCTGTGTCATTGCATGTCTTCTTTTTTTAGGATGGGAGAGGCTATATTCCTATGATGACAGATGCAGCAAGTCTTAGGCAATATGTCTATAATGGCACTTGCACCAAGTCTGAGGCGCTATGCCTATGATGACGCCTGCACTAAGTCTGAGGGCCCCGGCTCAATGCGAGCTTTCTTTTATTATGGCATGAGGCATTGTAAACAACTGAGGGCTGACTTAATTTTTTGTTCTTTGCTTCATTTTTTGTTAATAGGGATATGGAAGAAGTGGTGGTAAGGGTGTGCGGAGGCGAAGGTGTGGTGGGAGCTTGGCGAACGCCTCGTGCGTGTCTTTGGCGTGAAGAAAGACGTTGAAGGAGGGGGTGCTGGTGGAAGAGTACCTTTACAAGGAGTTTTTTGGAACGGGGTTTCGCGTGTTTAGGTACCGGGAGCTGGCTGTAAGGGAAAGAGCGAGGACAAAAAAAACGGAGAGTAGGAAGGAGAGCAATCACCATACTACAAATACCAAACCATCAGCCATGGTCGTTCATAGTTACTTTTTCGTTATTAAAAAGACATTTTCTCTAGTATCTGTTCTTCATGCCCTCGTTGGTGCTCGTCTACTTGCGTCTTTGTCCAGTTCTTCTCTCTCTTCTCTGTTCAGAACTCGTTGCGGGGTGGATTGGTCATGATTGTGTTGTGGGCGTTGGTTGGTTGTTGAAGATGTCGTTTTCCATGACGACGAGTCGAGAGTTGGAGGTGTAGATGTGAGTGGAGGGCCTTGATTCGCACGAAGGTCGGGGCATGAGTAAGTAGGAGAGCGGGGATGGTAAGATAGAAAGAAAAGTATGTATGTGGTGTGTGGTACGTGAGGTGTTTGAAGGACAGCAAACAAGAAAGAAAGAAGGAAAGGAAGGAAGGAGGAAAGAGGGAGGGAAAGGAAGAAGGTAAGAAAGAAAATACAAGAAGAAAGAAGGAACGAGGTGGCCTGTACATGCGTCTGTCCTTGGCGAGCAAGAATGATCATTGATAAAAACGAGTATACGCCCAAGGAATAAAAGGAGTATTTCCCTTGTCTCAAAACGCGTCTTGTCATTCAGTCATTCAAACACGTTATCATCCTGTTTATCAGTCGCGTATAGAGACGTATGTGGCCTTTCGTTACGATCGCCCTTTCTGGGCGATTGTCCTTTGAAATGTAGATGAGATAGAGGAAAAGAAAAGGAGTTGAGGCAAAGGTGAGTAGGAATGGGTGTTGAATGGTACTTACAGCAAGAAGAAAAAACGAACTGTACGGCGAATGTGAAATGAGAAGCAGCGAGTCGCGTGTCCGGTGTGGCTAGGAGAGAGTACGCGAAAAAGAGACTGTGTGTCTGAGCCCTTTACTTCTTTTGTTTGTTTGGACCATCGGGTGTAAAAGAGGGAACCATAAAACAGAGAGAGAGAGAGGAGAAAGCGAGTGAGGAGAGAATGATCCTTCCTTTTTCGCGTCGCATATGCTTGTAAACGACTCATAAACCAGGGGGCGAGAAGGCCCTGAGTCGTGAGTCCTGGGTCTAAAACTATGCAAGCATGATTGGTTCATTGGTGACCTAGCTCACTGAAGTCCCGTTGTTGATGTCGGGTGTGTGTTAGTGAAGTGGGCGTCCGTAAAGAGACAGCAAGAAAAAACCATCTCCAAGGTCGACGGGTCGTCTCTCTTTTCCAGCCCTACACATCAGAAGCGATGCACGTTGCATGAGGTTAGGGGCAGGGGAGAGAAAGAGTGAATGAGAAAGACTGAAGAAGGGAATAAAACAAAGGAGGTCGAAAGAAAGGGAGAGAAAAGAAAGGGGAGGGCGAAACCAGAAACCAGGAATACACACACAGGGACGCACAAAACACCCAAAACATGAAAAGCAATTCTCCATCTCATATATTTCGTTGTTTAGTGAACAGTTACAACAAAAGCAGACGAGGTCCAGGAATGTCGGTCCTACCAAACGAGCTAAAAAGTATCACAAATACATGCAAAGGCTTTGTCTCCTTTCATGCAACGTCGTATACTGTACATCCCTCTCTCTCCTCCTACCTAGCTCCTCCTACCTCCTTTCGCTCCCTCTGTTGAACACCCTGCTTTTTTCTTGTCTCCTGCATGCAGCAAGCAAATCAAAAGATGAACAGACACATTCCAATTGCGTTTTTATCGGAGAAAATATGTGTATTTGTGAGATGTGAATGAACCTATGTACAAGGATATATGTAAAGAGGATGGTAGCTTGCTGTTTGTCTAAAGCGACCTTGTGCTGTATGCAAATAATGCTCGGAAATGAGGAGAAGGAGGGAAGGAAAGAGGGGCTATGTACGGGTTGGTTGTGAAGGGGTAAGTGTGTATTGTATGTGTTTGTGTCTCTGCAGACAAAAGAGCCAGCGAATAAGTCTTTACCGACGGTGGTGACGATAGTTTACATATGACAATTTCTAGGCATGTCCTCAATAGCAGCGGGAGCAACTACCTCCTTATACCACAGCCGAGGATCATCATCGCCAAGACACCGTGCAACAGGCATCAAGTCGTACCCAAGACTTTGCACGGACTCGACCGCCCAAATCGGTGTCGCCTCCTGGTAGATACCGCCCATGATCAACGCGTCTCTGTCGAGGGGTTTTATCGACGGGACACCCCTCACAGCCTCGGCCCACTTGTTTGTGAATGACAGCGATGACATCTCGCTTTCTTCTTTTTTCTCTTCCAGATAGGCATGTGAGCTGCTGTGTGTATGGTGATGGTGGTGGTGCTGTCGAGACCCTGTCATCGGGCGCTCTGCTTGGCTATGGTTCTCTGACCACGCGTCCTGTGATGACTCCGAAGAACCCATCTCCTCGTCGGGAGAGAAGCGGTCCACATCCCAGAGGACAATAATGTACCCCATATCCTCTAACACCCGACGAACACGTTCACCGTGTTGACCATATGGCGGGCGCATATATCGGGGCACGGCGCCAAGGATCTGACGGAAGGCTTCTTCGATCCTCAGCATCTCTTCTCGGATTTCGGCGTCCGAAAGTGCATCTAGATCCCGGTGTGACCACGGGTGTGCTGCGATCTGGTGCTGTGCATTATATGCCCTCCTCAACAGCCTTTGCGTCTCTGGGCCTATTTTTATCGAAGGATAAATAATAAGGTAGAGAACAAGGCGTTACTTGATTGCTTCCTTTACCTCACCAGCAAATAACAACGAAGAGAACAAATAATACGTACGGTAGATACAACTCCAGTTATCGCCATTCATAAAGAAGGTGACCTGCAAGTTCTGCTCCTCAAGAGCATCTAACAGGTCATCCGTAAGCTGACCGGGACCATCGTCGAATGAGATAGCATAGGCGTTGGCCTTTGTACACCTATCAAGAACCTGACCTGGTTTGTAGAGTGAAGGAGGGACGGGACCAGAGATGTCGTAGGGGAAGTAGGTGTTGTTGTATGCGTGTGGGGTTTGACGGCTGAGGAGTGAAGGGATGGGCGCAGCGGAGGCTGTGTGTGTTTGTTTTAGTATTTGTTGTTGCATAGTTGTAGTGTTGGTGGCAGCGCAAAAAGAAAAAGTGGCGGTGCGTGTGTGCGGAGGTGGAATGGCGGTTTATTTTGAGCAAAGGGACGAGGCGGGAAAAACAAAGACAGTGCTGGGTTAGTTTCCATTGCTATTCCCCTTTTTTCTTCTTTGGTGTTGATGATGAATGTCAAAAGGAATGAGAGAGGGAGGAAGAGATGCACTCATTCGCTCCCGTCATTGTTCTTTCATCGCTGTTTCTGTCGATGCTATGCACAAACGCAAACAATTAAGTACCGCTATGCCCTGTCATGTCATGCTCTCACTCTCCACGCACACGGAGACAGAGAGCACTTCTCACAAAGTAATATTCGCGTTTTTCTGAGCAGCAAGGTGCCTTCTGTTCGTGCCTCCTCCGTCCTCCATGCAGCTGCACCATTCTTATTCTCCGGTCGATATCCATGCTTTGAGTGAGTGGTTACCTTGAGGGCGGGATTGGAAGAAGGCGAGGGAGAGGATGAGGAGTCCCAGGACAAGGATAGGGTTGAATAGGATAGGGTGGAGCATCTTCCTCGTGTGTGTATGTATGTAGGCGTGAAGGAGAGCAGGGGAGGGGAGAAGAAGAAAGAGAAGAGACACAAAAAAAAGGCGAGATAAAGTAAGGCGAGGAAAGAACAAGGAGGTGTTCAAAGAAGGAACAGAAAGAGAGAAGAACGTGGAGCAGTTGAAGGTGGTTCCTGGATGCCCTTGTGAAGGTGTCCCTGACTTTGTGACCGATCTACACACACGAACTGAAGGGGGTATGTGAAGAGAGAGGGAAGGAGAGAGAGAGAGAGAGAGGCAGCGCGGAGGAAGAGTGTGATAGCAAAAGGGAATGAAAGGGAAGAGATGGGACAATGAAAGAGCTGTAAAGAGAGAGTGAAGAAAGACAAAGTGTTTCCGTGAGGATGTTGTTCTTTTCTTTGTGCGTAAAAGCAAAAAGATGAAGAGAGTAAAAAAGAGAGAGAAGAACGAACAAGGAGCAAAGATAAAAGAACAGAAAGACAAAAAAAACAAGGGCTGTAAAATGGACCCCCATCATGTGCATTAGCATCCTTGGAGTGAGGGGTTGAAGATAAACGACATTCTTTGCATAGTTGCACCCTTCCAATGCCTCTTTTACCATTAGAGCATACCATCTGTTTGCCATTCCACCCCTTCTTTCCTCCTTCATCCCTGTCCCTCTCTTTCACTTTTTCTCTCCGATGCAGATGGGCGCACTGGCTGTGTTCTTTTCTTTTTTTCTTTCTATTTTTACAGGAAACCCTTTTTCCTATACAGATTTTCTCTTGTCTGCATGCGATACTGAATGTCACCGCGCAGGCACGCAGACTCATTAGCAGGGACACCCTCCCTTCCCAGACTCTCCTCCCATCTTCCTTTCGCTTCCCTCTAATCCTCCTCGGCAAAGTCTTGTCTCCCTCACGCCTAAAACTGCCCACTTCAATACACTGACTGCCACTAGGAACAAAGAATACCAGCAACAGGAAGGAGCGTTTGAACTAAACATAACGCACAGAACTCCGTCGACAGCGGGCAAAGAAACGGTTCCTTCTACTTTTACCGAGGAATCTACACCCAATCCCATCGCGTCCTCGTCGCATGTCCCACCCATACAACCATGGGCACCATATCTGCATGCAGCGTGAGTGCTGACTCAGTGAGGCAGTGTTATTTTTGGACGTCTATTTCTCTTTCTGCCACACTTCTTCATCTTTTTCTTTTCCCTTTTGTATTTTTACCCATCTTTGTCTTTCTAGTTCCTCTTACACGATCAACTATTGTTCCTTTCCTATCTCATTATTTTCTATCCCGGTTGCCCAATGTGAGGCTACAAGCAAAGGCGTGCCTTGCCTTTTGAACGCAAGCGAATGGAGATATTGCTCAAGAAGACAAGAAAGCAAGAAGAGATTGTTGTTGTCGTAACATGACACATTCCATTCTCATAGACTAGTACAACGATGGTGTGTGTAGTAACCCCCCCTCCGTTTATATTTGAGGTCAACCTTTCTATTGTCAACTACAGACCTCCTTCCTGTTTCTGTCGCCCAGATCCTCCGCTCAGACCTATTACTCGTTAGTAATTCCCTAGTCCATGTTGGACTAGATCTACCTCGAGCTCACGCAATCTGTCGGGTAAAATCCGGACCCCTGGATACCATCCCAAAGGGTCCTGCTCTCCTCTTGTAGTATTGGAACGCAATGGAAAGAAAGAGCCATGGGATGAATGTACTTGCCTTTCAGCCCAGACGGAGTCTGGTGGTGATAGTTTCAGTGACCAAAAGAACAACAGTGAGCAAGTCACGGACGACGCATGATAGACGAAAGTTCATAACAGAATTCGAGGTTGGCCAGAGTCCTTGTGCTTCGTCCGTTCCTGATGGGACTCTGGTAATGGGACCGTTCGGCGAGTGAGAGAAGAGCGTCGTATTGGCGTATCATCGTTGTGAAACGAGTTTCCGAGTGTAGAGAGTGGGTGGTGGTGCGGCGTTGAAGGTGGTATGCCGACGGTGCGGAAAGCGAAAGCGAAAACGAAAACGACGAGGCTCTCCTGTTGGTGCATCATCTGCCCCTGACGCTCGCTCGTAAAAGACAGTGACGTCCTGGAGGCGGAAGAGGTGGCAGCCAAGATCAAGGCCTCCTTCGTCTTCCTTCATCTTCCCTCGTCTTCCTTTGATCCATGTGTCCTGAGAACGCGCCTGGAGGAGATGGCCTCGTGGTCTTGCGTCGTTGTTGACAGATATTTGAAGCCCGGAAGACAGGTAATAGGACGAGGGTAGTGTGTAGTGGCTCAGGAGCCGACACCATGCATTGATCCTCGCCTGTTCGCCATGAAAGTGGAGCTGATTGAGAACATGCATGATGGATGGTACAGAATCAAGAGCAGGAGCTGGAGGGTCCGGGTGATGGCATTATGCGGTAATCCTTTGCTTGTGTTCTTGAGCAATGTATCCTTGAGGGGTCTTGAGGATGGCGATGAGATGAGCGGTCAAGGTGATGTTGAGGTTGGTTCAAAGGAGAAGGACGAGAGAAAAGATTTTTTTACGGACAAAAGGATACGAAATCTGTCCGTAAAATAATTTTGACTTAGCCTTTTGTCCCGCCCATTTGCCTCTGAATAAAAAAAGTGGACCGAGAGCATGCATGTAAAATGCTCAGTGGACCCACACGACCTAGTTCATGCCTCTTGTCTTCAGAGTCCCCACCACCAGACCAGAGGAAACTCTTTAAATGCTTCTACCTTCAACATCATCTCTTGCCTCATCAACTTTCTGTTCTGCATCCTTGTAATTCGCCATACTCTCGCTTCTTTCGTACATTCCATTGCATCATCGATGGGCACATGACTACAGGTACAAGGCAAAGGGATGGCAACAAAAACAAAGAAGTGCTACTCTTATATCTACTCTCTCGTTGACAGCCACCTAGGTTCAATTGCACCCTGCTTAGTTGTCTATCCCTTCACGGCTCGGCATTCACTCCATCAACTCAACATCCCCCCCGAGGTTAGCAACAATCTCAATGTTCGAGAATATTTAATTTGATGATGATTACCGTTCACAGGGCGAAAAGGTAGGCACATTGTTTGGTTCAAGGGTTTAGATGTAATGAAAAAATGTCTATACACTCAATTTCATATCGTTCATTTTATTGACCATGCTGTTCGCCCCTTTTCTGCGTTGATGTGTACACCTAGTCACCCAAAAAAAGCATTACCACTGTGGTGTTACATGGAGCCGCGGGCACCGCTGTGGGTTCACGGATCAAGGGCCACGCCAAGAGGGGCGGATCGAAGATGACTCAACAACACCGTCGGTATTGTCCTGTTGGACACACTAACGAGAACAGAACGTCCAAGTTATGCAGCTGTTGCTACGTTCCGATCTCGCTTTCTCAGGCAACAAGGACCAAGGACGGCCAGACCAAGACCATCCGTTTGAATGGTTCGGTGGACTGCAAGAACCCGACATGCCCTCGGAGAAAAGCCGGGAGAGGACCAATGGGGCGCGATGCCAATACCGCGAACAATATCCTCACCTCCGGCGCCTCTATCCTCCTATCAGTAGACCACAGAGCTCTCCCTCCGTATCGCCCCTTCGCCCTCCCGGCAACTATCACCGCCAGCGCAAACGAGCTGGATATGAAGACCTCCACCTAAAGCCACCCGTAATGTGATGCGCTAAGGGTCAGTTAGTTAAGACTGAGCTGTTGTGATTCAGTTGAGTTAATCATCGTTTATTGGTGCACGACCGTTCATTCAGGAACCACTAGCCACAATCACCTTGATCTCAATCACTGATCGAATGGTGTCAGATAAGAAACCGTTGGGAAAAGTGGGCCTCACTAGCAACTCGACTTTGCCATTCCTTTTTCACAACTGCACTCCTCCCTTTATTAATCTTAGTCGTCGCTTCCTGAATAAAAGGACAATGAAAATGGCTATCTCAACAGGCGAAACCCGTCGCAAAAACCCCTGTACAGGTACTCTCCCACCAGCACCTTCCTTCAGCGTCTTCCTTCACGCCAAAGACGCACACGAGGCGTTCGCCAAGCTCCCACCACACCTTCGCCTCCGCACACCCTTATCACCACTTCTTCCATATCCCTATTAACAAAAAATGAAGCAAAGAACAAAAAATTAAGTCAACCCTCAGTTGTTTACAATGCCTCATGCCATAATAAAAGAAAGCTCGCATTGAGCCGGGGCCCTCAGACTTAGTGCAGGCGTCATCATAGGCATAGCGCCTCAGACTTGGTGCAAGTGCCATTATAGACATATTGCCTAAGACTTGCTGCATCTGTCATCATAGGAATATAGCCTCTCCCATCCTAAAAAAAGAAGACATGCAATGACACAGAGATTAGCACCCCCATTACGCCTTCCTCCAACAGCATATGTCAGTGCTGGGAGGGCCAGACGCCCCCAAGGTGACCACCATGCCGGCGCACCCACTTCCTTGACACGGCCAAGCACACGGCCA